TTGGATAAAACTTCAAGCTCGTGTGATTCAGATTGATTATAAACCGAAAGAGTTATTTTTTGATGTAGAAAGTACGTAGCAACTTATTTTTGAGATAGCGGATCGAACAACAATAAGGAATTATTTAGAGGTCGTTTTAGATTAATATATTGCATAATACACTAATGTTAGTGTTTGGAAACACCAAATTAATATATTTAAGATTGAAGAAAATTTAATTCAAATTCTTAACTAAATAACTTCTAATTCCAAATCCAAGCCACAATTTATTGCTTCCAAACATAGCCTGCCTAAATACATAGCATAAAAGGCTAAAAAGTTTTGCTGCTCTTCAAAATTTTTATAAAAGAAAAAACCATAAGCCAAATGTGGAATGTAAAAAGGACTCCGGAGCATACCAAATTTACAACTAAGAGAAGACATGCCAAGACAAATGTCAATTAGGACAAATTATTATAGAGTGCTGTTATTTCACCCGACTAATAAACAACCGACAAAATACGACTCCTACGTGGCTTTCTAACTATGGGGCATCTTAAAACTCATATATCGGCACCGTTCATCTTCATCTTTACAAAAAGCATCGGCGACTATTCATCTCCATCTTGCTGTTTCTTGCATTTGAAACCGCGATTTGCAGGAATTTTGAAATATGCAATTCTTTATAACCATTTTTTTCCCTTCCAAATTGCATATCTCAAAATTCGTTGATCAATTTAGGGTTAGGGTTAGGATTTCTGAATCAATCATTATATATCCATATATTTTATAGAATATTGTTAGTATCCCATTCTTGTTGCCGTGGACATAGACTTTCTGCAAAAATTTCTATTTCGATATACCCTATTGATGGAAGACACTAGAATCGAATGAGAGAGAGTGAACAATATCAATATCCATGTGGAATTGCATTTGAAAGCACAAAATTAAAAAAAATTGATTTTTGGGGCCGGTAAACCAAAGAAAACATATCAGAATGTAGGGAGAAAGTTTGGTCAAAGAAAACTAATAATTTAGTGCTACGTGGATGTAAGTTTTTTGTCGGTATAAACTTGTCGTAAAAAATATTATTTTTTATTCTTTTAAACAAATGTTGAAGTCGAATTCATTGGGTGAGGTATGTAATAATTTGCTATGGTAAATATTTTATAACAACCAAATATCAAAAAATAAATAAACATTTTTAAAAAAATATTTCACATGCAAACAAACAAAGTCTAATTGTGTTCAATTTTCAAGATAGCTTTATAACTAAGGAAGGCTTCTTATTTTTCATTTGAATATGCCACGACACTCTTGAACTTGCTCAAAAAAGTAAAAGTGGAAAACAAAAACTGTAGGTCACGGCCTTTTTCATTGAGAATAAAAAACTTTAAAAAAATTAAAAATTTAATGTTACATCTAGGAGTATCAAATTGTTAAAACTTGAAATGATATCATGTATAGGTGTTAAAAAATTCAATAATAATCCATTATATAAAAATATCCCGAATTTACTATGTAACATAATGAGAGTCGTTTTTTTACGGATCCAGCATTTTTGAATAGGGTGAGCTAATTTTGGATTGGGCTAATTTGAGGTGGGCTACCATCACTAATTTTTATTTTTATTTATTTTTTTGAGCTTGGCTTAAAGTAGTATGGTAATTTTTTTTTTTGGTAGGCTAAAGACCACCTTCGCCAACCCCTCGATCAGCCTTTGTGAAAAACACCAACAAAATGTGCCTAAAGTAATTTTATGTATATTAAATTATAAATGCTCAATAAGGGTAAGCAATTTAAAATATAATTAACTAACACTTTCGAAAACTTACAAAAAATACCTCTAGTATAATGAGGTGGCAAACCATCTTTGTGTAGGTAAGAAGACTTCTCTTATATCATGTAATCTGGATCATTAACCAATTATATATTGTCACATAAATAAAAATATAATATTTACTTTAATCGGACATATCACAAGATTCACAACACCAACATTTGATCAGTTGATGATACCATATATATATATATATATATATATATATATTTGCACATATCGTAGTTGGTTAATTATAGTAAGTGATTAATAATAACACAACTTTATGCTTCTCCTTTGGATGGAGTAAGAAACAGGTAATAGGTTTTGTGCTAAACCGGAAATACTTTAATCCTCTTTGTGTCTTTGTGTATTTCCGGTTTAGCACAAAACCTATTACCTGTTTCTTACTCCATCCAAAGGAGAAGCATAAAGTTGTGTTATTATTAATCACTTATTATAATTAACAAACTACAGTATGTGCAAAGCTATTGTCCCTGAAGGATGAAACAACTCTTGGTTCGCATGATTTTCTTTTGTTATTTTATTTTTTTATTTTTCTTTGCTACTGTAAAAAGAAAAAAAATAATAATAACTACACATACAGGAAAATTTGACAACCCTGAATATTATTTTCCACATTTGGGAAGAAATTAACATTTGATTCTTGAAAAGTAATGAACAATGACTATTTATGTTCCTCTCTATCTTCGATTCATCTATGTGACGAATGGACTTTCAATTTCTTATGTAAAGTTTTGAACACATTTTCGACCTCTAGTATAAATAATTATTAATTTGAAAGACCGGTGATACTAAATTCGATTTATACTTAATTTGTGTACATAGTTATATTGGAGTGCAAATTCAACACGTACACAAGAATCCAAATTACTTTCCATAACCAAGAAGTTTGGTCCATCAAGATTTGAAGAAAATGGACCATTCCCTTGCACATATGTTCCATTTAGAGGAGGACCTTAGATATGCCCCGATAAAGAGTACTCTCGAATGAAAATACTTGCTTTCATGTACAATGTGATGAGAAAGTTCAGATGGGAAAAGGTACTTCCAGATGAGTATATCAATGCCAATGCCATCCTATTCGTCTCCATCTCAACCTAGCTAGCCCTCCTTTTTAATTATATACATAGAAATAGAAATATGTGTGTGTGTGTTAAAAGGCTAGCCTGTTATGATCTATCAAAAAAAAATAGCCACAATGGATATATAGATGCTAAATAATAATGTATCAATAAATAAAATGCTAATGTACGTGTGTGATAATTTGGACTTATGTGACGTTAATCTACTGTGGTGTAATCTGTGTTATAAGTTGAATTCATGTATATTTTGTGAAATCAAAGTTATTTTCCATCTTGCTTCTTTGGACCCAAACTCTTACCTTCCATTTTGAAAATTAAAGTAGATAGCACAAGAACCTTAATAATTTTATTTTATTGATGATTTCAAATCAAACTATGTATCTATCTATCTATATATATATATATATATATATTGTTTTATAAACAAGGCACGCACCTATAGTCATCTATCGAACATGACCCGATAGTCTCGTCAGCGAAATATTGTCCACCAAATATAGATAGATTCATAGCCTAATTGAACATGGGCTTAACCCAATATATGCCCACATTGCAGTAGTTGTGTTTAAAAATCGCACATGGTTTGCTAGTTTTTGGGTTGACCCATGTGCTTTGTCTTTTAGAGTTTTTGGGCTTAGTCTGATTGTTTTACACATGTATATGAAACAGTAATTATAGATTCATAGCTTAAGTGAACATGGCTTAACCCCATATATGCCCACATTGCAGTAGCTGTGTTTAATGGGTTGACCAATGTACCTTTATGTTTTAGTGTTTTTGGGCTTAGTCTGATTGTTTTTGTTCTGGCCCTGCATTTCCTGCTGCTGGATTTTCTCAGCTTCCCTTCTTAGCCCAAATGGACTTGGTACATTTAATACTAATCAATAAACCTTTCAAAAAAAAAAAAAAAAAAAAACCAGAGATAAAATGGCCAGGACTTGTAAATAATGCTTAAACTTGTGTAGAATTACCCTAAATAATACAAGGAAATGCATTTAATCATTTTAATATTTTGTGCCCCTCTCATTTATTTTAAAAATCTCCACTTCTTCAATTAAATATATATATTTTTGATTGGAAGTGATACCAATTGTCATTTTTTTTGAAAATATTTTGTTTGGGTGTAATTTTTTTTTTTTTTTTTTTTTTAATGTTTGGCTGTCGTAAAATATTTACGAAGAAAAAAAATATTAAAATTTAACAAATATAACTTACCGATTAATTTTCAGCAAGTTATTTTATATGTCCGGTCTGATGGACTCGACTTAGACCTCTGCTAAACACTAAATAAATAAAAATAAAAAATATTTTACCTAAAAAAGAAAAATCTTTTCCGAAGAAAATATTTACGCAGTGTCGATTAAATTTTTTTTTTTTCAACTCTTTCTTTTTGTAATTTTTTTTTTATCATATATGTCGAAGAATAGGGATTATATGAACTCTTTCTTTCTGTTTTTTATCATGTATGTCCAAGAAGAAAAAGGTTGTAGATTTTAAGTTTTTGCCTGGGCAACCATGGTCAAATTTGAAATGAATATATGCAAATCCTGATAATTCCAAGAAGTTCAAAAAATCATAATAAAAATACTATGTTCCCTAAAAGGTTAAATGTTGTAAAGGCACAAAATCGAACAAGTTAAATTAGTGTTTTGCTAACCTACATTTGTTTGGCCATGTGAGATTGTTGAGTGTGCCTTTGTGTGACTCAGAGCGCTGCTTTTTTGCTAAGATCAAAACAAAGTCTAACGGCTGTAGACTAATAAAGCATGTTTGAGCAAAACTATTTCTAATGGCTGTAGACTAATAGTGCATGTTTGAGCAAAACTAATTCTATCGGCTGTAGACTAATAATGCAGGTTTGCTTTAACCTTAATACGAATATGAATAGATTCGGTCACATGAATTTTTTAATTTTTTTTATTACATGTCATTCCGTATAGATGACTTCTTACACATCTATATGGATCTGGTGTAAATTTTTAAGTTTCAACCAGTATCTTATATTGATTTGTTCTTAGCTACTGTTGTGATACCTCCATTGCATGAATTCTTAATTATAATAATTTGCCAATAAGGATTTCCACAGACAACTTTATACATAGTACTACAAAGCTTGTCAAGATATTAAAAATCAGTTTACAGGAATTTTTGTAAATCATTTGATTACATTTGATTAGAGATCACAAAACACAACTTGAAGCCATCACTTGGACACACTGAACCATTGTGGACTGAAATTCCTTCAACCTTCACATTCCTGGCGCTGTTAAACAAAGAAGTAAAATGAAATTGGCCTTATACTTCAAACTGGTGTGTGTTTGTGTGTGTGTGTGTTTGCTCTTCTAAAATTACATTTGCTTGTTAGTAATCCATATTTGATCTTCTCTGTGGCGTATATGATGATGTGTTTGAGTGGTTCCCTGAGCTTTTGTAACCAGAATGTCGAAGCTGAGAGTCACCTGTGTTGTCCTGCAAAATGAACCTCAGAAACTTGTAATGTTTTCACAATATATTTGACATTTAAGATCTTCTCAATTAATTTTAACGATTATTGCGAAAAAAAAAACCTGAGAAAATGAGGAAAGTGGGGTCTGATGTGGTGAATTTCCTGGGCTGCCAGCCAACATCATGAAGTTGGGCATGTTCTGTTCTGCCACTGCTCTCAACCTGTTAAGCTCAGGCAATATGACGGTCCCTAGATCCGGTCTATCTTTCTTCCTTAACTCTGAACACTTGAGAGCCAATTTGGCCATACTCAAGGCCTCCTCAACTGGCCAGTCAGGAACCTTCTGGTCAAGGAACTCGGCAAAAGTTCCCTTCTCTATAGCCCTTTCAACATGATGAGTCAAACCCATGGGGGGTTTGGCTGTAAGTATTTGGAGAAGCATGATACCAAGTGAGTAAATATCTGACTTTGTTCCGAGCATGCCAGTTTGCTGATACTCAGGGTCTATGTAACAGAAAGTCCCAGCTGTTGCTGTCATGCGGTATTGAGTTACACAGTCTACTATGGATGGAGGGACTAGCCTAGCTAAACCAACATCGCTAATCTTGCTGACAAAGTTCCGGTCAAGCAAAATGTTGCCGGGTTTCAAATCACGGTGCACTAGTGGTTCTGGTTTGGTCTGGTGGAGGAAAAGAAGGCCAGTGCAAATCTCTGCAGCAATACGGAATCTTATTTGCCACGGAAGAACATGTTTTTTTCCTCGTGGAAAAAGACGATCTTCTAAGCTACCATTAGCCATGTACTCGTAGACTAGGCAACCATACTCAGGGCAAGCTCCAAGGAGGAGGACCATGTTGGGATGCCGTATGCAACTTAGAACTTCAACCTGCATAAGGAAGGTTAAAATGAATCCAAGGGAAATTAAGCTGTATATATTCAAAAAGAAAATAGGGTGTTATGATAAACCAAGGCAAAGAACAAAATAACATAAACGAAAATCACAAACCAGGTTGAACATTGAAATTTAACACACTCCAACTTATAGCCTACGTCCACAGGTGAAAACGGTTCATTACGTGAAGAAGAAAAGAGACGTACAAGCCTCTCAAACGCTAACCTCAATACACCATTTGCCTCTCACTCTTTTGGGTTTTCACTGTTCAACCTAAACAAGACACACATATATATATATTGTCTTCGAGTTATTATATTTTAATTATCGGTGAGAATGGAATGGCCCATTCCCTTAGTCAAGAAGAGAAGTGGCCATTCCAACTTTTTATTCGAATGGGCATCCCAAGGGAATGACTTGGAATGACCATTCCACTTTTAATATAGCCCACCAAACAAGAGAGAGGGAATCAAAAGGTGGAATGGTCATTCCATTCCATTCCATTATTGCGTACCAAACTAGGCCTAAGAGTTCACTGTGTTATAGAAACTTCATTGGTGCACAAAAAAGCCACACCTCTTGCTGGAACTGTGATCTTCCTTGAGCTGCATCTGGACGAAGAACTTTAACTGCAACTAGTGTATGATCCAAATAACACCTGTATACCGGTCCATAACCCCCTTCCCCAATTTTGCGAGATTCGGCAAAGTTCTGAGTGGCTGCTTCAATTTCATCTATACTATATTTCCGGTACCTGATATCATTTTGTGCCAGAGCATCAAGTACCTTCTTCTTCTCCTCTGATTCTTTGAGTGCTTTCATTTCCGCATTCATTCGTTTTTTTGCTTCCAGTTCAGCAATTCTCTGAGCTGCTTCAGCTGCTTCAATGGCTGCCTTAGACTTGGCTTTTTCTCTTTCTGCAATTGCCAATGCTGCTTCCTCAGCCAGTCGTGCCTGTTCAAATCTTTGTTGTTCCTCTATTTTCCAATGATGAAGCTCCATTGCCTGTAATAAAAATATTTTAGAAGTACTTAAGCAATATATACCATGGATATTAATTTAAAACCGATAATTTTGTGTTATCTTCTTATTATTCTTTAATACATATTTAAGTTATTATTTTAATAAACATATGATATAATTTCAATTTAAAAAAATTTAATTCTAGAATAACCAAAGAAAAAATATAAAACAAAACCAAAACTTTACCCTTTGTTTGGCTGTGATTGCTTCTCTGCATGCAGAACTGTACATGTCCATTGTCTGCTTGAGCTCTTGCTTAAGCCTCCTCATTTCAGCTTCTACGTCATCCTAGAAGTTATGGAAATATTTAGAGCGACTCTTCTACACTTCATCTGCAGCAATATATATAAATGCACAAACAAAGTGGATTTTTGTTTTCAATCACAACTTCTAAGGCTGCCCTTACTAGTGTGCAACTTAGTAATAATTTTGAATTTTGAAAAGATAAATGGTTGAAGTATTCTATTGGGATACCAAGTTATATATGGAAAGAAATGGACGACATGAGAATAAAAATTGCAAGATTTAACAATTCAGTAGTGTCTCTGATTCCTCCAATTAAGTTTATATGAATCAGACAACTAAGACACTGACTATCTTACAATGACATACGGAATATTAAGCTGAATTTAATGCTCTCTTCGAGAATTTTATTTGCATACCACATTTTGTGATGACCATGACATACTTGAATTGTCCTGTGAGTGCGGTGAGAACCCATACATCGAATTTGGATCAGGTGATCTGGATCCTGCGAATGGCGAACCAAAGTTTCTATTGTTTGCGTCGGAGCTGGCTGAAAGACGAGGGGCCACTCCCATATCCTGACTATCAAGGAAAGAAGGGAACATACGATCGGTGCTTGGCCTGGAGGAGCTCACAAATGATATGTCAGAATCCAACCCCGAGAACTCCCCATGTGATCTTGGAGCTTTATTCCTCAGAAAAGGTGACCTGTATCAGTAGTTATCAGGTCAGTGCATTGTCTCAGTACATTGCTAGAAGTGTATTACAACTTACTTGGGCTCCACATCCTCAGTCATGTTACGATATTTAAATGGTGACCTCTCATTTGCTGAAATAGGATCCAGAGTATACTCATTAGCAGTGAAAAATCACAAATAAATTGGGAAACAACGTGAAATTAAAATTATAGAAGCATACCTCTTGAGCTGCTGTTTTGCGTAGGGCGTGCATTGACTGGATTTTCAACGGCTTTGCTTTGGTTCTGCAATTGGTTACGAGTGACTCGAACAGGCACCGGACGTGAGGCAGCTCGCAATGACGAAACTTTTCCTTTGTTGATTACATAAACAGTGCAAAACTCTGGTGCTGCTTTTGAGACACTGCTCGGAACATCTGCAGTACTCCTGAATCTTCTGTGACAAAAGATCTGTAAGTGATGAGATACTATAAATTACATCTTTTTTAGTTTAGGCAGATTATGTGAGTCACATTTTGTTTTTTTACACTAGGTGCTAGTTAACCATTGTGTTTCCTAATGACCTGATACATGTAAATGTAATCAAATCTATAGAACACCATAGTCGTGTTATGTCAAATGTAACTCAAACTTCCTGTAAATAAAACATAAGTTAGGTTAAAGGATTGATTCACTTCAATTTTTATTTCTCTCTTTCTTTTTTGTTTTTGTCAAAGGTTGGTTTATTATAATTCTATTGAATATCTTCCCAATGAATTATTCCAAAGATTTTAAGTCTTGGCAACCATTTTAGTCATGGTCAAATTTGAAATGAACATGTGCAAATCCTGATAATTTCTTCAGCAATCATTAAAATAGCGGAAATTTTGTATAGAAGTTCAAAATTTCATAATTTTTGGGACTTCATACCCGCGGAATGATATAAATAAATAAAATAAAATAAAATAATAAATATTTGTTTGTCTATGTGAGATTGTGAGTGCGTTTGCGCGTGTTTGTTTGTGAGAGAGAGAGCTGTTGTGAGCGAGAGAGCTGTCTTTTTGCTAAGACCAAAACTGCAAACTAATTCTAATGGCTGTAGACTAATAATGCAAGTAAACTGAAATAGAATTAATTACCTAACAAAGCTATTTCTCGATGGAGCACCAACTACCAAAATCTCAACTAAATTTTGCTTAACATAATCACATAAGCCTTTTGCAGCATCCATTTCTTCGAGCATGACTTCATCGCATTTTATCTGTTGCAAAAATGAAACCATTGGGAAGAAAACCAAAAATTAGTATGATAAAAAAATATATACATATATATAAAATAAAAAAATTATTTCATTTTTACTTAATCTTGTAAATGGAAATAGGACATAATCAGAAGCCTCAATGTGAGGGAGTTTACCATATTGGATGAGCTCAAATTAATCATACATGAATCTCATACTAACCTGATAAAATTGTTTAAACTAATTTCATAGTTATCTAGCGAAAAACTGATTTTACAGTTGAGTCTACAATTTCTTCAATTTTTCACTTCTATTGATTTTGATTTTATTCCTTACTTTATATGGATGTTTAAATATTGCAGGATGCTGGAGAAAATTATCATACTGCTGATGGAAAATTTGTAGAACAACTAAGCATATAATAAAGAAAATGAATAATATGGAGAAAGCTGAAAGAACTCACATTTTTACGCGTACAAAAGCAACGGAAGGGGAGGAAAAACTCCCCGGCTTGATCAGCAACCTGGCTTTTATATACTCTTGCAACCCCATTGTTTCCATCACTTGCAGCTACATGAATCCACAAAAAAATGGGAAAGAAAAGCTCAACAAACTGTTAAATAGAACAAATAGTTGCAGAGGTGATGAATAATGTGAGACACAGATGAGTGGACTCCTCACCTTGGGGGATTTTTTTTTTTGTGAATTAATATTGTCTTCAATTTCAATCCTAGGGTGTGGATTCTATGCTAGCAAACACAACATCAATTTAATTGGTATTTCAATTTCATCTTCAAAAGGATGTTACGCATTTGCTTTCTTCCTTTCGGGTCATTCTTTCTTTCTACATTTCTCTCTTTGGTGGGTACTTTTAAGATTGAAGTTATACATACTTACAAAAACCAAAAATAAAATTTAAAAAGTAATACATAAAAATGGGGTTACAATAATACAAATACTCCAAACACAATCCCCCATACAAAGGGTGATTTTACAAACAAATTTATTGCAACAAATAAACCTCAAATGGTTTCAAAGTACTCTAATAAGCCATTTCAAAAAATGCAAAAAAAAAAAAAAAAAAAAAAAAAAAAAAAATGCCCTCCATATGTTCAATTTATTGCCCCACTGGTAGAATAATGTCATAATTATTACTCCCATTCACCATGAAACAGAAGAGATAAAAATATATATTTTTTGGCAATTGAATGAAAGAGATGAAACAGAATGATATAAATATATATATATATATATATAGAGAGAGAGAGAGAGAATTACTTGGAGTGGAGAAATGGGATTGTCTTTGATTGACATGGATTAGTGTCAAAGATTGACCCTTTTCAACAAGATTATCAATAGCCCATTTGAGAGCAGCTTGGCTCCCTTTGTCTTTGTCCACTCCTACTGCTACATTCTGAATCGTCGTTTCCCCATTCTCCTTTGACTTCAACATTCAGCAACTTCAATTATATAAAACTCCCTTTACAATATATTACTACCAAAACAAAGATTCCAAGCTTTGTTAGAAATTAAACCCACCACCTTCTTCCCTCCCTAAATCTTTTGGACTCCTCAAACATTCCAAGCTCTCATCTCCCATTCTCTCTCCTCTCTCTTCTCTCTTTTCTCTCTCTCTCCACAATATTTTTCCAAGAAAGTAAGAAACCAACCTAGACGCCCCTTAGAGACACAGTGTCAAAAGCTGTAACAAACCAAAAATGGAATTCTAGGAGTTTTGACCATCCAGCGAAGCTGATTTGTTAGAATTCGTGTATATGTTCATTAATTACCGGGAAAGAAAGAAAGAAAATAAAAAAATAAAAATAAGCAATGCTGATTTGGATAACAACAACAAAAAGCAATGCTGATTTGGATCACAACAACAAAACCAATGTCATATTTTTGGGCAGGTATTTAGGTGGGCCCCACTAGATAAAATTTAGTTTTGGCTACCCAAAGTAACTAGCCAGGACAATATGTCTGTTTTGGAAGAATTTTAGAAGAAAAAAAGAAGTTGTTTTTGTGAAAATTAAATTAAAAAAATTATCAACCTATGGTATGATCTCTTGTTTAAAGGAGAGAATGAGAATTCAAAACCCACTAAAATCACCCGGTGAATATAAATTTGGATTTGCTTTTTAACTTTTAAACTAATAATAATTAAAATGATTTTTTTTGCCCCTTTGTCTACAAAACTGGTTAAGGTTTTTGGAACTAGTAAAAATATTTGAAGACAAGGGTTAGAATTGGACAACTGCACAGGAAGTGAACTTATTTACCAAATTACAATATCGATTAGAGTAGGCTTGTATAGGCAGACTATGTTAGAGTCTTACAATTGAATGCCCCAAGGATTAAGTTTTCCAACAAGCCTGTATTTGTCACCAAGATTAACTTTTGGGTAATGATCAACCATGTGAACTCTAATTTTGATTTGCAGTTAATATATGTATAATTTGCTGCCAACAATTTGTTCACAAAATCAGGTTGTTTGTTGAAAAAATAAAATTAAAAAAATAAAGATAAAAATTTGCTGCCTTGTTTTACATTTCTCGTGTGTATGTATATTGTAAGTAAGAATATGTTAACAAAAGACTACACAAAGGCAAGGAGAAAAAACAAAGTATACACTTCCTGCACATAATGGATCAGAGATCAAAACCGAAACTATTGTAGAAGCTATATATTGTAGCAACCAAAATTCTCAAAGCTCTTTTTTCAGTACCTGGGGAAGGGAAATACAAGGAAAGAATCCTTCCAACCTAAACATTGGTGGCTGTTTTGATTCTTACCCATTTACGGCCACCCATCGAAGTACTCCTCATTTGAGCAAAGGCAATACGGAAAGGGCTAAGAGCTGCTGTTGCAGTCAGCAGTACTAATGGAAGCCAACGGCAAAGCATCTCAGACATGAAAGGGTGCACCCTTGTTCTTGAGATGCAAGTAGCTCATTCTTTCTTGGACATGTTGGCAAATGGCAAGTCTCTTGTTGAACCGAATTGAGATATCTACAAATTTATTTCTACAGACTCTAGCATTCCTTTCCTTCCACATACAGTATACGACATCTGCCAAATATCTGTTGAGGATGAAATGGATTTTTTTCCGGCCCAGGCAATGAGGGAAGGCCAAGAATGGTTCTATCAAAACACATTTTCTGTGGTTTTCTGAATCAGAGTTTTCTGTTGACACCAAGAACGATAAAGTATAGATAAAATATGAACACGACAACCGTAATATGGAGAAGGCTTTGATATTTGCGGACAACAGGGGAGCCGCCTAATGAATCTAATGTCGTCATCTTATCTTCAGATTCTTTAGGTGCTTTCATTTCTGCATTTACTTTCTTCTGTGCCTCTTGCTCAGCTTTCCTGCATACTGCATGGGCCGCCTCAATTGCTGCCTTAGCCCTCTCTTTTTCCATCTCTGCTACCACCAGTGCTTCCTCCTTGGCCTTTTGTGCTTCTTCTAATCTCTTTTCATACTCTGTGTTCCGAAGTTGGTGTTCCCTTGCCTGAATGAAGATATATTAGAACAGTAGAACTCATTGAAGTACTACGGGGTCTGAAAACGTTGAGGTTTATAACTTTATACATCCTCCCAGTTTTGAGCCATTTCAAATTTTTCAAAAAAATTAAAATTTCACCCATGTTGATATTTTATATATTTCCCGACATCAAACAGTTGGTTTCTGGAGTTTAAGATGTCTAAAAAGAAGAAAAAAGACGGGCAACAAACTCAACAATCTTAGTCACAATTATTTCGGTTTCAGCTAAATGAATCAATAGCCTCCGGTCATCTATTAAAAAGCTATATTAGCCACCAAGCAATAAAAATTATCTAGTTATACATTTTAAAATTTTCTGTTTTCTTGAACCATAAGAAGTATTTCTTTAATGTCTATGCATTTCTTTCTTTCTTTCTTTTTTCTCTCTCTTAAACTAATAGCACTTATCAAAGGCATTTGAATTATTATTTATTTATTTATTGGAAATTTAAGCAATTGTATAAAAATGGTCCTTTTGAACTATTTGATTTGTGAAAAAACGATCATTTTCAGTTGAGTGATCAATCTAGGTATACAAGTAGTACTTCTGATTTCCCAAAAAGAATCCAAATTGACTGAGATCAAAGTTAATGTCAAAAAAAAAAAAAAGAAAAAAAAAAAAAAAGAAAAAAAGAAAAAAAATAGAAGTGATCAAAGCAGATTGAAGCTTTCAGTACCTTCTCTTTTGCTTCCAATGCTTCTTTGCAGGCTGCAAGGTACATGTCCATGGTTTGTTTCATCTGTCGCTCTAGTCTTCTCATCTTTTCTTCCAATTCTTGCTACAAGTTTAAAAGATGTATATTACTGCTAGCATATCTACTCTGCAAAAATTTATATTGCTTTGGCACACATACTGCACTTGTTTATGCATTGTTGCACACATATATGCATTTATATGTGTGTGTATCCAATAAGTTACTTAAAAATATATGATCATGACTAATAAAATAGTAAACTTATTCGGCTGCACTATCTTCATGACAGTCGAGCTTTATGATGTCTAACATTTTGGTTATTAGTAGCACATAACTGATTTCCACTTGGAATTAAAAAATTATTCAACCATAACTCAAATCAGCAGTAGCCTCCTAATTGTATGAAGAATTCCATGAATTTATGATATGCATTACTTATCCAACAGTCAATATCAAAAAGCATTGTACTGACTTACAATGCTATGCAGTGACGATGATGTTCTTCCACTTTCCAGCCTCATTCTCGTGACTTCATCTGCAGAGTCGAAACAACCCAACTTGGACCCCAAGCATAACGGATCGTGGCTTTTGTCCCACACACTCAAGCTCTTTGAAGACCGGTGGGTCATTTCGGAGGTTTGTTCAGATCCCAGATTATCATAGAAAGCAAAGAACATGCTATCAGTGCTTATCCTTCCAGAGCTTACAAACGAGATGTCAGTATCTGGCACCGTGACCTCATCATGCATTCTGCTATTTGTTGTTCCACTCCTAAAAAATCGCAACATGTTACAACATAGTTAGTATGAATTATTCATACATATCCAATAAAAAAAGTCCATTGTTTGATTTGGTAAAGGCCTGCATTAAGAGGTATGACTAATGACATAGAGACATAGCCATCTTTGTATAATCATACGGTTCATACCACCTTTGGCTCAAGGGAATTAGAAAAGCACATTTTTAACCCGAAAACATATTCGTTAGTGAATGATGTGTGTGTATATATATGCAAGTTGTGGTAGTGGTGTCCAAATGATTGGCAATATGTACAAGAGTGCAACCCCATCATTTGGTATTAAAAGATGAAGGTAAAAAGTTTTAACTTTTGCTAGTGTTGTATGAAGGAAGGACCAAATCAATAGGAAACAATAAAATTATGCGAATCGAATGATTTAGAAGCATCAATATCTTTAAATCTAGTTGGGTCATAGACCTCCCCTTCCCCTGGCTAGTTTGATGGTGAAATACTTACATATAATCTGTCTCGTGATTATGATTATTGTGACCGAAATGCATCCTCTGTCGTATTGAATTTGATGGAACTGGACGGGATGCAGACCGTGAGGAAGCGATCTTTCTTTTTGAGATGACATAGACATTGCAGAAATGAGGTGCTCCTCTTAACACAGTGCTTGGAATATCAGTCTTGAATAGTCTGCAAAAAAAAAAAAAAAACAAATTTTTTTGGAGTTAAGGACTACCAAAACTACTTTGAGCCTCTATTCAACGACCATGTGTGCATGTAGGCATTAAGCTATTTCAGTTTCTTCCAAGGTAATAATAGAGAACTTTGAGAATGTGGTTATTTGCTATTTTAGATAATATCAGAGGCCTAATCATTTATATTCACAATGCATGAATGTTAACAGCTCATGGATATATATTACAGATGACATTTTCGTTTAACTATGGAGTTTGATTCAGCGTATGACAGTTACCTCGAGATGCCATTTCTAGATGGCGCACCGAGCAACAAAGTGCTAATTCTGTTATAGGAAACAAATTCCACTAGTGCTTTTGCTATGTCTTGATCTTCAAGTATGACATCCTCACAATGAACCTGAAGCAAAATTTGCAAGTGAAAAAAAATAAAAACAAATCAATATGAAAGAAAAACAAGCTATGTGACGGGTTTAAAGAGCTAATGAGAACCAATTTCACAACTTGTAGTTGAACTTTGAACATGTCCATTGAAAAGAAAAATCTTGAGAATGAAGCATTTATCGGAGGCCACCTCTCTAAGCGAGCAAAAGCAACGGAAGGGGAGAAACAGCTCCATGGTTTGCCTATCAGGTTCATGTCTGTTTGTTATACACCCTGCTGCACGCGAAGATTGGGACATAGGAGAACCATAGTTTAAGAAAGTGATGCAATCTGACTTACCTAAAAAATACAAAAAAACCAAAACAAAAAACAGAAAAAAGTGATGCAATCAGATCATGGTCATCCATTGTTAAGACAACTAATTGTTTGAAATGATATTGTTCATCTTATTGAAGCCCATATTTGTCTACCGAAAAGAAATAATTAAATTCATCACATTCTGTTTTGTGTCTCTTTATTATTATTATTATTATTTTTTTTTTTTTTTATGCAATTCAGTATATTAAAGTGGATCAAAATTTTCCAACATCATTAACGTCATCAAATGCAAATCTCCATGATATATATATATATATATATTTGGTGGGTGAGTATCATTTTCCTTATAAATAAACACATGTTTTGGAACACATTTATATCAAACAATACAATCAAAAGGGAACAAATATACAAAGAAAGACACACACACAAACACATTTATATGTGTGTGTGTGTGTGTGTGTGTCTAGAAAGTTACTTTGAGAGGAAATTGAAGAGGGTGTTTGATTAACATGAAGTAGTATAACAGTTTGGCCCTTGAAGAGGAGATGATCAACGGCCCATTTCAAGGCATTTTGGCTTCCTTTATCTTTGTCTACTGCCACCACAACAGAGTTTTCTCCATTCACCCTCGGATTCAACATTATCTGTCTGGCTCAAATTCTGAATCGATTACAAGATAAATCTAGATTTTTATATCAAATGATAAAAACCAAATTAGATTTTTAGATCAAATGATAAAAAGCCAGATTCAGAAATTTGAAATAAAGAGCCAGAGTTTCAAGAAATGGATAAAAAATAATAATAAATAAAACAAATAAAATAAAATCCACCTCTCATACATTGACCACCAAAATTGGTTTGAGAGTTGCGTTCGAGAGTTGGTCATCGATGGAAGGCAGTTGCGATGTCAACGTAGGAGAGAGAAAATACCTTAAAACCGAATGAGCTTGGATTCTGTTTCTAGTTACCATTCTTCTCCTACTCCTAGAACCATCAAATTCACCCAAGGGTCTTCTTACCAATTTATTTGAAAGTGGTAAATTAATGAAGTAAATTATAACATAACATCCACACTTGCAAAAAATAAAAAATAAAAAAAGCTATATAATGACCATAATTATTTATACTAAAATTTGATCAATTTATTTGAAAGCATGATTTGTCATATCTTATCCAAGTTCGATATAAAACTACCTGTTTATATTAACTTTGTCCAAATATGTAACAATTTAAATATGTTACATTGCGATATCGTAATCACTATTGCGAACTATGGTTGAAAGTGATAAATTAATAGAGTAAATTATAATATAAAATTCACTTAAAAGGAAAATGTTATATAATGACCATAATTATTTATATTATAATTGGATCATTTTATTTGAAAGTGGTGAATTAATGGAGTAAATTATAATATAACATCCAAGCTTTTTTTTTTTATTTAAAAAAAGGCCATATAATGCCCATAATTATTTATATTATAATTTGATCATTTTTATTACTAGTACTTGTAATGTACTACTATTGACCGCTAGTGCGAACTAGTATGTTTGAAAGTGGAAAATTAATGGAGTAAAGGAGTAATATAAAATCCACTTAAAAAGAAAATACTATATACTGACCATAATTATTTATATTACAATTGGATCATTTTATTTGAAAGTGGTAAATTAATGGAGTAAATTATAATATAACATCTAAGCTTTAAAAAAAAAAAAAAAAAAAAAAGGCCATATAATGACCATAATTATTTATATTATAATTTGATCATTTTTATTACTAGTACTTGTAATGTACTACTACTACTATTATTATTATTGTTATTATTATTATTATTTTTATGAAGGACTTAAACACACGCTAAAGGAATTTAGGGGTTAGGGCTCTTCTAATAGGTCCCTAAATAATGCCTCATTGGAGGGTGGAGATTTTTATTTTTTTAAAGAGCATCCCATAATTCACAAAGTCTTCGGTCCATCTGTGCCATCAATTATTGAGAATTTTTTTTTGAAAATGGCTCCTGAGAGATTCGAAAATTTTCTGAAAGTGACTCCAAAGAGATTTGAACTTCAAAACTTTAATATATTGCGTATAGTCATTTTTGAAAATTAATTGTGAACATTCTTTGTAACCTTTTCGTTATGCTAATAAGCCATTTAAATTCTTCAAATTTTAACAAATGTGTAACATTTAAACTCTAGCTCGAAGTGAACGAAGGCATCCTAAGTAGCTTGATTACGAGAAGAATTTGTCTTGTAAGTGATACTATGGATCAACTAAGAAGTAATTATAGAGTAGTTTATTATAATTTTTTGATAAATTTTTTTAATAGAAATTATAACTAAGAAGTAGTATTTTTTAAATTAAAAAAAAAAATTAGTATTTACTAGTTATATCATTACTATAATTTCTCTCTTCTCCACCACGTATAAAAATTTTAAAAATAATAAATTAGAAAGAAAAGAAAAGAAAAAAAAAAGTGCAAAGGCACCATTTTATAAATTTTCAAATTATCACATTATTATATTAAATATTAAAAGTAATTATATCCGTGAAACAATTGAAGTAACATTTACTCTATTTGAATTAAATTAAAGAAGTCTATTAAAAAGATTTTACCATGTATACCCAAAAAAATTATAAGCACGAGAAGGAAAAAGACTAAAATTTAATTTGTTGAGATAATAAAAACCAAAATACTACCGAAGGGGAAGACGGTTGTGACGATGCCACTACAAGAAAGCTAATTTGTAAAGGTAATTTTGAGATCGTCATGGCGTCCCTTGTGCTCAAAGGCAATGAAAATTGTTGAGATTATGATTTTTTGAAAAATTATTAAATGACCCGAGAATACATGGCTCATGTTTTCTTACGAATTGTCTTTTTAACCAAAAATAGCAAGCCTTTTGGCCCACATATCTAGCCCACTCTAATGTCTCATTTTACCCTAAATGCTGATCTTAGATCCAGAACTATTCAGATCCAAATTAAGGAAGCCTTTTACTCTTCTAAAACCCATGTAAATTCTATTTCCACCCCTACCATTACACACAAAATAAACCTGTCACACCCCAAGTTTCACCATCTAAATCATTCAATTTCCAGAGAAAATTTTAAAAAAAGAAAAAAGAAATGAAAAATGACAAAATCCTATTCAACCATTCATTGAGAGAAATTGAAATCATCAGATAATCCTCTTGAAGAATTTCTGTCTCCTTCACTAGCATACGAAGAGTAGAACTCATCATCACTATCCTTCTCTTTCACTTCCTCAATTCTCTCAATGGCCTCCCTCAAATCACACCTATGCTCAACTTCATTTTCACAGCAAGCCAACCCCACCCTCAGAAGCTTCATCATCTCCCCCTCACTGTTCTTCGTCGCGCCAATCTCTTTATCAAACACCTCCACCGTCGTCCCCTCATCGCGAACGATAGATTTCACCCATGCTGCCAAGTCCCCGTCACTTCCTTTGCCGTGTTGTAAATAACTCGCGGGAAACTTCCCCGTCAGAGTCTCCAGTATCAATATTCCTAGGCTCCAAATATCAGTTTTCTTGGTTATCCGGCGGTGTTGCTTGTACTCTGGTGCCTTGTAAGCCACCATGATCTCTTGAGCATGCTCTTGGTCCACTAGGGGGATTAGTCCATAGTCCGTGAGGAGGGGCTCGAAAATTTCACCAAGAAGAACGTTTGATGACTTGAGGTGGCCATGAGGTGCAATTAGGGCAGGAAGCTCAGTGTAGAGGAATTGAAGGCCCTTTGCTACTCCCTTGATGATTTTCAGTCTTGCTGCCCAATCAGGCCTTGGCTTCCCACTGTATCGGTTGCCTGAACAAATGAATCAATACTAGGATAAGAATATTTCTAGATATCAAGAAAATATTTTAAGTAATGCAAATTTTTTTTCCATGAAACTTGATATATATATATATATATATATATATATATATATACTGTGTCCTTATCGTAGTATATATTCCCTCCATCCTATAATAAGTGTCATGTTTTGAGAACCGTGACTCACTTATCATGGGACGGAGGGAGTAATTCTCTTGGTAAAGTCGCTCTATTGTGATAGTGGTTACAGTTTAAAACCGAAACAGTTTTGCCATACATGTTTAAAACTGCGTGCATTTGACCCTACCCAGACTCTGCAATGGCGAAAGCCTTATGCATGGCCATATTTTATTTTGTTTCATTTATTAGGGTTTTGCTTTATCAATGGATTCTAAGTGTTCAATTGTTGTTAAATTTCAAGAGTATAGATCAAATAATCAAGCACTTTAAAATCATATGAACATTGGAGGAACCTAATCCAAAAATCTAGCTTTCAATTGATTGCTATAAGAATTTTTTTTTTTTTTTTGTGTATCATGAAAATAATTTCATGATGAATTATCTTTTGCAAATTAAAAAGTGATCATGCTATATTATCAGATAAAAATACTTATGCCATGCATATACATATATACATACATTATATATATATATATATGCAACGTACCATGCAGATGAACAGCCAAGCTGACGTTGTTAACAAAGTTATTAACCAAGAGCTTCTCGTCCTTGGTATAGTAATAGGCCACAAGAGGAAGCAAATTGGGATGTCTCAACCTGCCTAATCTTCTTACATGCTCTTGAAAGTCTTCTCTGTTCACATTATTCATTTTCCTAAACCTCTTCACGACCATCACTGGACCACCGACAAGAGAGGCTTTGTATGAAGATCCAAAGCTCCCACTGCCCAACATCTCAGCCGAGGCTTTTAGCAACGATTGCAAGTCGAATTTCTCTACATCATCTTTCAGAAAAATCAACTTCCCGTGCCCGTTCTCGTCCTTCTTGCCGTGTGAGGATATCTCCGGCATACCTGTCTCCATTTTGTCGAAATCAGAAGAGTCCGATTTCGTGTGGCCTCGCTCTGATCGTGGAGCCTCTTCCGGTGGAGGCGCTTGGGATCGGCGCCGGTAAAGTATGAAGAAAACTGTAGCTATGGCAGCTAAAGCTGCCACCACAGCTATCACCACGGTGACGATGGTCACAAGGGATAGTTTTGGGGGAGAACATGCTGCCAGTGGGCGTCCACATAGATCTTTGTTGGCTGCTTGGACCAAAAATATTATCAGAAAAGTCTCCTGGACTTCAACTATGCATCATGCATGAATGTAGGTTTCTGTATATGCATCATTAGTTTAGAAGTCTGCATGTTTCTGTGTGTATTATATATTATATATATGTATATGCGTGTGAGTGTTTCCAATTTTACGTACATGCATTCCAAAACACGTGCATGCATGCATGGGTCCATAAATATTTTTGAACCTTGTAAATCACATAGATAACACTCAGATAGTTTTAGAAGAATACTCAAACCCTAGAGGTATGAAATAGCCAAAACTTTAATATTGAAATACGTGGAGCCTTAATAGGATATTTTAGTTTTGCTTCAAAAAATGGCCTTTTGAATTTTAGAATTTGGAATCATATATTTCTTAGAGAAAATAACATTAATGGTTTCTTGCGTTCTGGGAATATTTTATGTAGGAAAAAGTACTACTGAGAATATTATATGTAGGAGTTTGATTGAAACAATCATAGTTTTAAGAGAACCTGAAACCATATTATTAATCAATTAGGATTGTTGATTAACAGTCAAGGTGGCGACGGCGGCGGTGGTGGGAAAGAAACATACGGATCCGCCGGACTCACCTAAAAACGAGCTTGCATCCATCCCACCGAGCTTTGAAGGGATTGGACCCTCCAATGCATTGTTGGATACATTCATTATTTCCAATCCCTTTTGTACAAAATCTGGTATTTCACCTTCAAATTGATTCCCCTCAAGCCTCAAGTCCAGAAGGCGAGGAAGAATAGTGAGGGACAATGGAATCTGACCCGTGAACTTGTTCTCTGCCAAATGAACTTTCCTCAACCCGGTCAATCCATCAAAGGCGTCGGCCGGAATATCCCCGGAAAATTTATTGTTAGACAGGAACACTGATCTGAGCCAAGGGATGATTTTGATGTTGGGCATGGGGCCCTCAAGGCTATTGTTTTTCACGCTTATAGTTCTCAGAGATTCCAATTCCCTGAGGGCGTCAAAGCTGATGTCGCCGGTGAGTCCAATATTCTCGAGCTGTAATCCCGAGATGGTCCTGTTCTCGCAGTTGACACCCTCCCAATTCGCGCCCTTACCCTTTTTGGAGCAGGGTGATGTTGAGGAATTCCAACTGGCCAATGCTGCATTGTAACCCAGAGAATCTTTGAACTTGAGAAGGATTTCGGATTCGGAATCTGTTGCGTTACAAGAGGTTAAAACATGCAGTGATACAATGAATCCGACAAGAGACCACCGGAGGTAGCTATGGGCCATAACATAGGGTGGCACGTGCAGTGCCGGGGTGGTGGGCGGCTCACTTTACGGTGGCTCTAGATGGAGATGGGTGGTTTTATGGCAGAGAGAGGACATGACAAGCAATGGAAGTTTTTTGGGCAGAGAGAGAGAGAGAGAGAGATGCTAAGAATAGAGAGGGTATTAAAGCTGGAAATAGAGGACAAATGGGGTTGTGGGTGACCAAGTTGACAATGTATTGGCTTGTCTGCATGAGGTTTTCAAGTGTCTTGTGAGAAAAATACGGCGTGCCTTTGAATTGGACAGAGAAGTTATTATGGTCACTTTTATTCTTTTTTTATGGTTCGTCTTTGCACTCGTTTTTTTTTTCCCACTCTGGCCAAGCATTGCGTGCCACATATTATTAGGCATTGTAAACACAGTTTGGGTCATGCCACCAGCAAACTAGTGTGTATATACATATATATATATATATATATATATATATATAGAGAGAGAGAGAGAGAGAGAGAGAGAAATTTGAGTGAATTAATCAATAATCAGGTGCTTAATTTGAGTTTCTTTGTAAGCATAAAAAAACTGATCTGCTAATAGTAAGATCCAATAAGATTGTCCTTAAATTGCATCCAATCTATCATAGATCCAAATTGTTCCCCCAAGCCTATTTATGTCCCTGAATCCAGTTGTCACCACCTTATGAACTCAATGTGTGTTTATTATATACTACTTCCTGTATATGTCAGTACCACCACATCTGTTATGACGAATGCATCGAAATCACAACAGAAAAAATAAACATATGTATATGTCAGAACCACCCCATTTGTTACAACAAACGCATAAGAATAAATCACAACAGAAAAAATAAACCTGTTACATAAAAATAAAAATAAAAAGATTTACGTAGTTTAGCACAAATTGTACTTAGATGATAAAGATCTGACAAAAGATTTCACCATGTAAAAATTGGGATATTACAATTTTCAGCCTCTGAACTCTAAATCTCGCTCTCACTTTCTTCCCAGTTCAGTGTTCTCTCATTATCCCACTTCAAAGTCTAAGCCCCGAGCTTATATACCAAGCTACAAGAGAGTTCTAAACAAGATCTACAACCCGCAAACGAAAACAACAGGTCAAAAGAATTTCGATCCAAAACAAAATTTGAGCCCCGACATCATAGTTTCTATTCTGTAATACTGCAATATGTGTTGTAGTGATTTTTAACCCAAACTACATCTAATTTCAACACAATTACATCTCTTTTTTCTTTTCTTTTTTTGGCCAAATGTAATGTTGAAATCAGTGTGTTTAAAAATAGATATAACATGTTGAAAAACATATATAATATGTAGAAACATCACCAATACAAGATGGATTATAGCAATATGGCTTGCAAGTCTTTGCAGAAAACGCAAAGAATGCCAAGAGAGCCATGAATGAAAATCTATTGCTCTTCAAAAATACTAGTTGACCAACCAAAAGATGAAATTGTTTAACGACCTCCAAATCAAGACTACAAGGAGTTTCCAGTCTAAACTGTTAAGCATATCCAGTATTATCGTTACCGTGTTAAAAGTATCGATGCTTTAAATCGTTAATTGAAGCAGGTCTATGTCAGACAACTGTCTGGAACCGTATAACTACTACGGATTCTTTACAATCGTGACCCAGAAAACCTGAACTTGACGCACATTTGCAACAATTAACAAAAATGGAGTTCTACTATGTTCACAGTTTCATCATTATGAATTAATATCGTACTTGAACTAACTAAATTATCTTATGTTTCCAGACATCAGATTCAGGAGAAAGATAGTGTTCCTAATGTAAGAGGACCAAGCGACTACAACATGAACCACAAATAACTAGACTACGAAACCTTAGAGAAATAAAGCAGTGAAAAATAATATATGTTGTCTAAAAAAGAGAAAATTATAACAAGAATTTGTCCATTTCTACGTGAAGACTTCAAAAAAAAAATTTGTTAAAAATGTTGCAATAAAGGGTTTTCATCTCATAATTCTCCAAGAAAATTAATGGATAGACGATCCATTTAAAAGCTGAACATATATACGGAGTTTACCTTGCAACCATAAGTCCAAATATATACGGAGTTTACCTTGCAACCATAAGTCCAAAGAGCCAATGGTTGGAAAGATTCTACGTTATCCCAAAAAAAAATGACATAAAATAGAGAAGTCAGTGTGTCAGACTAACTAAATTTAAATTAAGAAGTACACTGTTCCAAAGAGGATCATTAACATGCAAAAAAAACTAAAACTATAAAGAAAGACAAATTTTAGAGTTATCTTTGCTGACAAGTACCGACTCATTTCTATTGCAAAACATCTTGAATAATTCTTCTAAAAACTACTAAATACAGGCTACAGCCAGAGTTCAATGGGGTATGCTTTGATACAAATTTCCAGGAGAAACTACTAAATGTGAGACGAAAATAAAATTTTAATTTGAATCATCAAGTATGTCGTACAAAACGGGACTATGTTGGATTTGGTGTTGAATACCAACAGATTAGCTATTTTTCACTTGGGAAAATTCTCTGGTGGGACCCATTGAAGCACGTGGGTCCTGAACTCCTATATTTGAAATAGGAAATTTGCATCTCTATAATTGTGATGTTAGTTTTACCTCAACAGATGAGGCAATTTTGTGGGTTAAACTGTGTGTACCCTACGTCAACAAGGCAAAGACCATCAGGGGGTGCTGGTGGAGCGGTGGCACGTCTGCATGTAGCATCCATTAACTTTAGCAATGCATCCTCTTCTGCACCAGCAGCTGCTTCCCTTATTGATGTTGCCACAAGAACTCGAACCATCTGCCAAGCAAAATCAGCCAAATTAAGTAACTGAATCAGAATAAAAATTGAAATGTCTCAATCCAACAAAATGGGTCAGCTTAATCAATCAAATGATTCTTCAAGGTGTGCAATTATTTTACAACAGGCATTCAGCCTGATCAATTTGGCAAAGAATGTTTTGCCTGGATCTGCACAGTTGACAAGGATCCGAAATGCATCCACTATTTCTAAATTGAGGATAAGTAGGATTCATTTGGACACAGCACAATAGGAGTGAAAATCACCATGGTCATTAGTCCACCTATGGCTATGAATCCATTTCCTTGGTTCTACCTCATATCTTATTTATGTTAAGTTGTTATCTACCATCTACTCCAAAAGCTTAAGTTGTTAGAGAGAGTGCAACTAATATATATAAATCCTTCAACACGCCAACTCACGTGTGGCCTTTTTTTGGTCTAACATGTGTTTCAATTTTAAATTACCAAGGTGACGGTGTGTTTGAACTCGAGACCTTTGACTCTGATACCACGTTAACTACCATCTACTCCAAAAACTTGAGCTGTTAGAGAGGGTGTAACTTAAATATGTAAATCCTTCAACAATTTACATTATGCAACTCTAATATTTAACTGCAAAAGAAAAGAAATTCCAGTGGCTAGTTTTAGAAGCTTTACGAAGTATATGTCTTTAGATGGGGTCCTCCACTAGCCGTAAAATGATTCATCTAGCTGACCAAAGGCGGTTGGAACCAAGACTTTGTTTTTAAGTTCAGAATTCTAATGCTTCTTTTTGAGAAGGTATTACACAAATTAAAAATGATACGTATACAAAATGGTAAGCAAAAGAGTATTTACCTTACGTAAAAAGCGGTTACCGACCAACTCAACACACATTGCCTTTGTACCTTTCCCATCCTTTAATTAAAAATTAAAAAATAAAATAGAATAACACTATTAGTAGCAAATATTAGAATTTAGAGTAGATAAATACATCATTAAGTTGGATTGCCCTAATTGTAAAATCAAACAGGTTGCAGGAGTGTCTAAAATTTTAAAAAAACTAAAAGCAAAATGAAACAGAAAATTAAGCAGTCATAGAAGAGTACAAAGGGTTCAATGAAGATTAAACAAAATATAAGGTACATCCTTCATCAAAATTTAAGATGCAGCATGAGCAAGCATGAAAATGATGTTAAGCCCTGCACAAACTATGATTTCGTAAATACTACTATCACATTATTGTTATTATTATTATTATTAATGATAGGGCTACTGCTGCAACTACTACTACTAATATTGTTGTCATTGCCTGGTGCAGTAGTGAAATGCTCATGCTGTCAAGCATGAGAAAGTGGGTTTGAATCTTGAGAGCAGATACTTTGTGCAAATAATGCCAAAGATTAGGTCTGCATCCAATCTGCCCCTACCAGCACCCCAATTAACTGGGCCACACTGGGTAATGACACTAATAACATTATTGTTATTAATTTTATGCATTCTGCAGTGTATTGTGTATATGTTCTTGCATTAATTCTAAGAAATGCAGATAAAGAATTTACCTACACAATAAAAATACACATAAACAGACATACATGTGCACATAAGACAATAAGTACACCGATGCAGGAGCATCACAAGCGTGCAAGACTCCTTGAGAAGATTGTCTGTTGTGCCCATTCATCAATTAGTTGTATAAAAATTAATATTATGTTAGTTTATTACTATTGAAAATTGTTGTTGTCTAAGCTTTATCTAGAGTCGTGCACTTCAGAAGACTATGTAGGTCCATTGGTCAATGATCCGTGTTGTGAGTTATCTTTGATCGTCTAGTATTACACAATTAGGGTCCTAATCTTTATTAAGTCAAGTGCCAATCATGCATCTTTCAAAAGGTTATTAGTGATTTGTAACTCATGTAAGTCAACAAATAGAGGTAAGTGTCTTTTCTTTCATTATGACAACTCCAGCTGTTTTCTCCTGCATAAATATTGCTTGGAGTGATTGTAGGATAAGCCTTTATTGTATTATAAATACGAGTTAAAAATGACTTTCTTGGGCCTTACTGAAAACCTATAAATCTTTATAGTATCATTCCCAATTTTGCACTCTTGCCATCTCTCTTTCGTATATTGCTGGTATCTTCTACTTTTTGCAATCTGGTACCAAAGCAAATTTCATTCCATTGATATGGCTACATGGCAGAGGAGGACATGGAAGAAGAGCACAGCAAGGCCAAGCTGCATAGATGTTGGAGTTAAGATACGCGGATAGTTCAAAATTCACTAGAAACAGGAGTCTGTGGCTGCCCAAATGGAGGTAAAAGGGGCCAATCACAGACCTTGGGCATACTGGAAGGTGGCTTTAAGAATGTAGAAAAGATCGATCTCAATTAAAACTTCAACCCCTTCCATAGACAGGGTCTCCAGGAGAGGAAACAAAACGTTGTGCAAGCATATAGTTTCAATTTTCTTCTTCTTCTTCTTCCTTTTTCCTGTCTTTGAACATACTATATTGCACTCACCATGCCAAACAGAGTCAACTGCATTAGCAAATAATTGTAGCCAATTGCACACGCATTCTTAATGGACTTGCAAGGTAACTGAACTTAAAGCGATGTTAGCTCAAAAAAAGTAGTAGAAAGGAGTGGTAGTAACCTTGGTAGAACATGGTAATATAACTTCATTGGCTCGGGCATGGTAGACAAAACACTCCGTTGGTGGACCACTGCAATATGAAGGAAAATTCAGTTAGAAAGTTAAATTCAATATGAAGTAAATATATGGTTTGCCTGATTGCATCAGCAAAATTAAGTTCATTTCAAGACAAAGTTCATGCAATTAACTTCTGAGATTTTCCACTAAATTTCTACCAGATGGATTTACCCACAAGAAAAACCTTTAATCAAGATAATCTGTTTCTTCTGACCCCTGTTACAACTGGAATCAGCATGGATTGCAAAAGAAATGGACATGGATAGGCTTATATCATAAAGTAATTCAATATTTCAGTGGGTTAATAGAAATAACAAAGGATTCTGAGAACTATTGCAAGCCCAATCTACTATAGGAAGTCATCCCGAGGCACCAATGTCACATTAGGTTAGGCTCAGTTTATAACTAGCCTAATTCATACACAACGAAGGAACCCTACTGTAACTATTTGATTGAAACAATTACCCCTAAAACTTGGGAAGGGATCAAGTAAACGATTTCAAAAAGATAAAGAGATGGTCCTTACTAGCTAAATCTTAATGGCCAAAGAATCATTGGCATGTGATGTTTATACTCTTTATATATAACTGATGATATAGAATTGGAGATATGATTTTAGCTTTGAGAAGGGTAGAGCCAAACTTGAGTATTAGGAGAGGGAAGCTTGTGAGGTCCTCTTATTCGCACAAACTGCTCTTCAATATATATTTGTATAGATAGAATCAAACTATGAAGATTCAACTATACTCTATATCTAATATTCTGATGTACTGTAAGAACCAAATCCATCCTTATATCTTTACCACTCGACAATTCAGATAAAGCAAATCCAAGCAATTAAAAGGCTTACACATAGGACTGTACATTTTCTAGCTACGTAAATACTAAAGAGCTTTGTTCTTACATGTTTCTTGAAGCTTTAGTATCCCGTGCGAACATCTTATAGGATAATAACTTTCCTTCTAATTGATATAGAAGTTGATTGACCTTGCTTACTCTAAAACTCGTTGGTTTATTCTGGCTTTCAAGCTCATCATTGCCTTGGTCAAGAAAGTTCTCAAAATTTGATGCCCCAAAGTCCTCCCCACATTTATACTCTGTTTTATCATGATTTTTAATAGAATTAATATTCTCAACATCCTCCTCATTTGCACTGCTTTGCTCCCCCATCTCTCCATCATTTAAAGGGAATATATACAAATAGTGCCTCCATTTGGCAGAGAAGTTAGGATGAAATGCACGTGTCACCTACAATGATTTATATCTCTGATCAGTATTGTGTAAGAATGCCACACCATGACTTGTTTACACAAAAAGCCTGAATACAACATTACCTCAGTCACAGATCTGACTCTGAGCTTTCCTGGTGCTGCAATATTAATGGCATCTTCAATATCTCTAGGTTTAACATCCTTTCTCCAAGTATCTAGACATATAGAAAAGGGAGGACCAAGTAAATTACATCTAAACCCATATAAATAATATAAGTGACAAAATAATCCATAAAATGGTAAAAGTGACAAATAAATCTAAGTATTCCTCTTATGCTGGCAACAGAACAGTTTTATGTGGTGAATTCCACATGTGACAGAAAACAATATTGCTCCACTAGAACAAGAAACGCTATCAATCGGTTCTCTGACCCACAAACCTTGATACCATTGGAAAGAGAGTAAAAGGAAAACATTTGATTCAGTGAAGTGGAAAGAGAAAGTAAATATAAAACACAATATTACATAGCAATGCAGAAAGAAAGAATGCAAGTATATATAAAAACAAACTTCTTCATATGTTATAGTAATATAAAGTTGTAATTGCATATATAGGTTGGCTGGCATCACAGAATTACAAGTGATAAGATAAAAGAAATTTAAAACCTGACAAGTAGTTAAGCAATTCCAAATAGGGTAATCAAATTCCATACATAATTGACCAAAAATATGGATGCAATGCACCATCAGAAACAAGTGTGAACCGAAAAGGGTAGAAAATCAAAACAACCAATGAACAATAACATGGTGAGAAATAAATTTTAACATACAAAAAGAACAAACTTGCTGAAGAGCTGTCACTCCCTTGTCAGTGCGCCCAGCAACCAAAGCACAGCCTTCAAGTGGTAAACCCTTGTCTTTCAGCAGTTGTGCTTTCTTCTCATCAACAAATTCCCCAAGAGATTTTTCTACCAAACTGCATATAGAAAAGGTTCAGAAACAGGATGAATAAGAAGGGAAGAGATAACATAAGAATTTTATATGAGAAAAAAGAGCACCAAAAAGAAAAAACAATTCAATTCTGTTTTATTATAGAATAAGTTAACATTTGATTTAAGAAAGTAAAAAATGTCAACAACTAAATGCAAGGAATCAGGAAGCAGTTGTGCACATTACAATAATGGACAATTCTGTTTAGTTTTCCTTAGACACCAAAAATGTACTTTAGTGTTCACTGAATAGTCTGAATTTAACCAAAAGTATCTAGATATAGAAATTAAGACACAGCATACGTTAGCACATATAAATATAATGTAAAATCAATATTGAATCCTTAAAAGATGATCAAATAAACATGACAGAGTACAATCATCCAAAATACCAAATAAAACAAAATGGACTCACTTCAAATGTTGTGTGAAGTGAAGTTCATTTCCTTGTGGTGACAAAATGCAGTATTAAAGAATCCCCATGCAAGTAGTCATCAGTTGGGCAAGATGGATGGGACATAAAAGCTCATGTATAATAGTTTAATATGTGAACCCAAGAATATGCACAATAAAATGCTTAACTAAAATTTAGAAGTTGCAGGGAAAGAACTTACCCTTGAACAGTGTCCAAGCCAGGCTGCTTCTGCCACCCGTCAAAAGAAGCTCCATGATATGAAAGGACTATCTTAAATGTTACTCTTGCCCACCTTCCTGACCTATCTTTGGATGGAACACTCGATGATTCACATATATCAGAAGCCTTTATAATTTCAGCAGTTTGTGTCTGTGAATAACAAATGTTATAAGATCCTCACACGAGCATGGCAAAACAAAATGAAATACAATTTTTAAATACCATTGAGTTGGTGTAATATTTTTCAGTTCAGAAACTTCAGAATGCTGTCTCGGCAAAAGAATATCCCAGAATTTAATGGGTAAAATCATATCCTCTACTCAACAACCGACTCATGAGACAATAATAATAGAGTTAAAAAAAAAAAAAAAAATTGTAGTATTGATGTCTTCATAAATTTTTAATATATATATATATATATATATAAACTACGGCACTATCTGAGGAGAACTGAACATGAGATTTTAAAAGGTAAGGGGAAAAAAGGAAGGGGGGAGCAGCCGAGCAGGGAAGTGGACTTTGCAAAAGTTTAGTGTTACTGTAATTGATGATCAAATAAAAGAGAAATCAGGGCAGTGAGTGGTATTACACATCACTCTAATTGAAATATGTATCTTTCTCACATGAATACTGTGTCCACAGTATAACAGCTTTAACAAGTCAAGAATAAATGTTGTGCATATTTCAATTTACAATACAGCCAGCCAACAGAAATTATATATTTGCATTGAATGGTACATAGCCTTAAAAAAGTCAGTCGCATTTCTCCACACATTTGAATTAAGTTTACTTTCTTCCTTTTTTTCCTTCTCTACTTGGCAAAGAGTTTATTCTATTGCATTTATAACAGTCGTTGGAAATTTATTAAAATTATGTTCACCTATTATGCTACCGTCATCTAGTGATGGTTCTATTATCTGAGTTGATTCTGTTTCAGAGGACAAAACATATGCCTTCAGATGCTAATGCAAAAGGAAGCGTTCATTTCCATAGAATAGCCAAGCTTCCCCAAGAGAAATTACCTTTCTCTCAAACAATTCCAATAGTGAAGAACACTTGGTGCTTAAAATGGACTGAACTATCATTTATCATTTTCATAAGAGTATACGACATTCAAGCATATCAATATGAGACTACCCTTATTTAAGTTTTAACATACCAATAATGAAAAGAATTCCTTACTAATTTGAATAATAAAGAACATCGTACAATTTTAATACCATTCCACTAATGAAAAAATTATATAAGAAAATAACATATAATTCTAAGAAGTAATATGACAGGAATTGAACCCACCACCCTTTGGATAAAAGCATCTTCAAGTACCACCAGACTCATGGTATGTAAAGCACTTGTTATTTAAAACTTAAATCTTCATTTCCTGATTTCCAGGAGACATCTAACTATGGTCATGAAAAACTTGCATTGTTTCAAGCAATCCAACAACAGAAAGCACCCACTAGTTATATTGTATGGCATTTGCCATTTACACAGGACTTCAAGCAAGCCCTACAACAAGGGTAATCTCAGACAATCCCAATGATGAAAAGCACCTATTACCCAGATTCTGTTGATCCTCACTGACATTTCTTGTTTCAAGGCATTAGTACCGTATTTAAATTTCAGCATTGCGAGTAATAACGAATTTGGGACTACCATAAACATTTCAAAAAATGTACTTTCATCAACATTTATTTCAATAAGGTTAGCTACAAAGCCCCTTGCTGTCAAGGTATCAAACAAACCATTTTTTTATTTTTTTGGGTAAGAACCCAAATATTGAATACATGTATAACAATATTCAAAAAATGAAACTTTGGCTACTGACCCACCTCCGTTCCAAACAATGCTGACAAGGAAGCTCTACCATTGACTACATTTGAATAAAAATCAAGTACTCGTTGCCAAGGTCTATCATACATGAATTCATAACATTCCCTGCCAAAACGAAAAATTTGCATTGATAATGGTGCGAAAAAAATTCATCTGAGACTATAATTAAACTTCATGAACATTACAGAAAACAATTTAGCTACTTCTAAACAAGAAATTGAACTGAACCCAAAACTAAACTGACTAATCAAATCATGAATCAATTGAAACTGGTCTAACGTTTAGAGAGAGAAAGTATATACCTAGAGGTCCATCTGGAGTACTTGCAAGCATCAGTGTGGTTATAATGAAAGTAAACCCTTTCCTGAGATTGGCTTTCCATTAGAGATCTCAGAATCCGTCCTACCCTTGGGTACGTTATCATGCCCTTCTTGATTGAAGTGGCCGGAAAGCTGACAGCATCGCCGGAACCATACTGTGGAAGACGGAGAAGATAGAGAGAAGAACTATTGTGAGTTCTCGGTTTATCCCACACAAAATGCTTCTTCAAAAATTCACTCGGCCTCCTTGCGCAATCAAATATTACATAATTACCCTCCATTGTGTAGATTTTAAATTACACTTCGACCCTCCAAAAAAAAAAATTGTTGGTAAATGGGGGAGTCCAATGACTCAATGACTCAATCAAATGCCCATGTCAATAACACTATAACATTTTATTTATTATTATTATTTTTTTAACAAAAATGGTTTGTAAACTTGTGTAATCACATATATTATTTTTAAGCCACAACCACAAGGGACTCTTTATTCATTGTGTCACCAATATTGAAACTCCTTTTAACATTAATTTATAAACTTTTAATTTTTCTTTTTATACTCTTTAAATTAGAACTAAAATTTTGCAATTTTATATTGTCTAAGACTAATTATTTATGTTAATCTAGATATGTTTAGTATTTTCTTATAGTAAATGGATTTTTTTGTCATTTTACTTTTTAAGAAGTAAACAAATATTTTAAATTGTTTATTCGAATACAAAAATATAAATAATAACATTCCTAAGCATAATTTTTTGATGCACTGAAATTTCATTAGTTTAATTTTTAAAGTCAAAGCTTAATACTCATTAATCATTAAAACCTAAAAAGAATACAAAATACTAATTATAAATTTCTGCAAACAAAGTAAAATAAATTTTATAATCACAAATAAAAAGAAAAAATTAGAAATATGAGAGATTAACGAGAAATGCAAAAATGACTATGAGAAAGTGAAAATGACTTATTTTTTTCTTTTCTTGTTTAATACTGCACACACACAATAAAAGAAAACAAATTTTGTGGAGTATTTCAAAATTAGCGAGCATGTCATAAAATTCAACATCGAACACACATAATACCATCCCAATATAATGAACAATTATGAAAAAAAGGTCTTTTGAAATCCCACAGTTTTAGTAAAAATCTTTAACATTAGACTATTATATGGGGTTAGAAGTAAATTAGCTCCGAAATTACTAATTTAACATTCTCTCTAACAATATGTATTTAACCTTAAAAATCAATGTCAAAATACTCCATTAATAGTTAGTATTTAACCTTAAAAATGGATGAGAAAAGATCAAAATACTCCATTAATACTTTGTAAATTGACAATCTTACCCTTCTCTTTCCAGCCACAACTTTCACCAAGACCTCCCGAATAGCCGCCGGCACAGGATCTTTCACAACCTTCCTCAATCTCAACCATCTTTTCTCCGTAGGAACCAGAACTGAGTTAATAAAGAACTGGTTCTGCTTCTTGTCAACATTATAATTAAAAACCACTCTTGATGAAACAATAAACGAACACCTCTCCATCATAATTTCTTTAGCCACTGCAATCTCAACTCTTTTTATAGGTGTGTGTTTGTAGTTGCAGAGAGAAATGAAAGCTGATGACGAACTGGGATATATATATATATATATATATATATATATATATGTATTAACACGAACTGGGATATATATAGAAAAAGGGATTTAGCATATGGCCTCAGTGTCAACTGACCATCCACATGTTTTACATTTTGTTCTTGCAACTCTTATTGATCATCAATTGGGATTAAAATTGACTCCACCATTTTCACTCTCTTCGGGATGGTATTTGCATTCAAACACAAAAACAAGTACAAAATCTTCGGCTTAATAACTAAACAGTAAGTTTCAATTTATAGAACTTCCAATAGACTTCAATTTCTATCACTACTCACTAAATTATTTCTTTTTTCTTTTTCTTTTTTTCTTGTTCTTCTATTTTAGTTGAAATGTTGTAACTTAGTTTTTTTTTTTTTTTTCATAAGTTATTGTTATAATTTCTACTAATAAATCCTAAAACCTTCCAGTTGCAAAACAAAGCAAATTAATGAAGTTCAGTTGTTAAGTCAATTGAATTGAATAAATACCTTGTTTTTGTTACCTGTGACGAATTTCAAAAGAATGAGGGTAGTAAATGGTAATAGAAATATAAGGTTTATGTATTCATAATTTGTATTTGAACAGTCTCTGATAACAGATATGTGCAGCAGATTATAGATAATATTTGAGTTCTTATTTCTTAAGTGTCTGTGTAACACATAAGTACTAATTTTAGATGCAAAAATATCCGATGACAACAGTGAACTATCATATAACTTGGTTGACTTTTCTCCGCACACAAAAATAAATAAATAAATAAATAAATAAAAATAAAAGGCAGAATAAAGGGTTGTTGGCAACCTAAATTCCATGGTTTTTATTCTTTATCAAATTACCTCACCATTTGCATATATATATATATATATATATTGACCAGAAAAGTAAACCAAGAAAAATAAATAATTAAAAGAGTGGATGGCACTGGTTTAAGTTAAATGAAGTCCCCTCTTCTGTTTTGATCATTTTGGAGACTAAAACATAAATCTGCTTAATGGCTTGTTCTACCATAAAGGTATGAATTTCCAATTTTTCCTCTTCGCATTTCAGCTAAAATTTAGATAAATCTGCTTATGGTGAATGTAATTCTTGTTATTGCCTTGTTTCTGCACCATAAGACAGAAAATTGTATTGTAAGTTAGGAGTACTGATCTCGACGCCAGTGGGAAGAAAAAGGTGCCCAATGCCATTGCCCAACTTACAGGTACAACAAAACTATATATGCCAATTGTGTGCTTATTTCATGTCTTGGCTTGTTTATATCATGACTTGGAAAAATATTTTACTAGTGTTGCTATGTTTGAGAAGAAAAAATGATGCTGTGTGTATGAGTGGGAGATAGAGATTTTCATATGTAACAGTATCATTTTGCATAACCATGTGTTGCCATTTGAAAATGTAGGTGTAAATGAAGTGAAATTTGATGAGCTGATGAAAACAGTAATTGTTATCGGGACGGTTAATCCTGAACTGGTAGTGGAGAAAATGAAGAATGCCAGGGTGGAGGCAGGCATCATCTGTGTCGGATGCCCTACCAATGCACCTCTCGTCCATGCCCAATGTAATGGAGACATGTGCTTCATCCTTTAAAGATGAAATTTCTTCGACTTGTCACCCATTTTGCAGTACTGCAATCTCATTTTCGGAACTAGCTATATCTGTATTATCTTGAATGTTATTGGGGGGACAATTTTAAAGTTAACAAAGAGATGCAATGTTGAAGGTGATTTATTTCGACATGAAATCAAAAGTACTTATTCAACTTAAAATGTGATTTCGACTGGACTTTATTTTATTTTATTTTATTTTGTTAACATTGCTTCTCATGAAATCAATCAAATTCTTTCTTCGTTATTGTTGCGTTCAGTGGGGATCAATTTAGAGTTTGAGCTTCAAACAGTGTGTTCTTATGGTTGTGGTGTACCAATAGCGCAGTAAATACACAAAAATAAGCAGCAGGTTGGTCTTTGTTTTTTCTTTTTCTTTTTTTTTTTTAGTTGGCACCAGGAACTCCCCTAGGCAGTGTCCCTTAGGGACCCAGCCAAGCTACAAACCTGGGGGTGCACCCGTCGCCACATCGAATACACCAGGTAAGCCGGAGGTGATAAAGGTAGTGGCAAGAATCAATCCCAGGCCGTGTGTGTGGCCACTCAAAGACTTCCCAACTGCTCCAAGCCCCCGGAGGCCAGGTTGGTCTCTGTTTGCCTCCAAAAAAACTCATCCTCCACAGGACATTCAATCATGCACTGCTTACCTTAATAGGGCAGAAAATTAATCCAATGTTATGATTTTTGTGAATGTAATAACAATATGGTAAATACCAGAGTGTTATAGCGAGTAGCTCTTCCCCATATTTATATTTATGAATTTTCTTTAATTGATAGAAAGTCAGGCTCACAAGGAAGAGTACGAGAGCTAGTACTCTCTATATTTAGTTAAACGATTAGAACAAGTCCTGCATAATAAACAACCACAGTTGACAACAAATGAATTATGATTAAAAAAAAAATTGGATTCATTAGAAACACAAGTTGCATACAAAATCAGCCTTAATTAATTGGTAATCATCAGATTACATAGAGACAAGGTCGAAAATCATTTAAAAGTATAATCCCAAGTCACATTGTACACTAGTTTATTTGAAGCTTAGAGAGGAAGTGTAAAGTGTAAACATCTATTTCAGCTGTAAATGATCAATCTGAGGTCTGAATTGCTAATTAGTAGTATTTCGTAGTCTCAACGCACATTCCCATTGCTCTTCGATCACATTCCCATTTCATATATAATGCAATGTCCACCCTCAAATGACAATAAGTTAATCTTTATATCAACTTCGTTTACTTGCTACTAATCAACTATAAATTGAATTCTTCAAACATATATTCTAAGCTGAATATTTTCTACTAATAATTGTGGTCCCAACTTCGGCCAGGTTTGCGCTAGACTGAAACATCCAATATTTAGACTAAATGAGAACTAGAACACATGTAATGACATATAAACCAGGTCATTTAGAAATTCTACTTAGAAATCATTGGTCTTCGAAGAATTCGTTTGAGATAGTTAAATGCAACCGAGCTTGATTATATATATATGTAGACGGATACGAGTTGACCTAATTAACAAGCCAAGAGAAGGCCACCAACCCGGCCTAAACTAAACAGCTAGCTATATTATGCATTAATTTGTACAGAAAATCACCGGTACCTTTCATGATATCCTTGTCACAGTAGTTTTAGAGTAAGAACAGTTCGTCTCTAATTTCTTTTTCCAGAACTCGCGTAAGAGGGACATACAGTGGACAATGCACTTTTGCAGTTTTTAAAAATTAAAAATAAAAATACTCATAATTTTTGAAGGATGAAATGTCCTGCAAGTTGGGGATCAAATGTGGTCTTGCTAGATTGTTTGAACACATTTGTGATATGATGATACTTATCAAAATTTCCTCACTAGAAGTAGCTAAAGCACTCGTAAACCCCTTGGACACAGATGCCTGGTGCTTTTTTAGTGTGTTTACGAAGGAGCAAACATTTCTGTCTCGAAGAATAAATGGGCCATATGTGTAGACAACTTAGAAGTTGAAGGTGAAGTTGTTATTGTTATTGATCAAAATCAACATCTGTGGTTTCATGATGGCATCTCTTCTATCTTCTGATATGTTTAGCCTGGTTCTTGGCTATTTGGCTACCGGCATCTTGATGATGGCTGAAATGGGATCTCTTTTCTTATTATTATAATTGGCCCCGGGTTTGATCCATAAAATCTAGAACAAACTGCACCTATATATTAAGAACTAGTGTTTCTGTTTCGAATTCATTTTTCGGTCGGCACATAACAAATAGAATTGAAACTGAGGTGCTGGTGATCATCAATTGGAAGACTAATTCCATGAGAAATTATGTTTTTGTATATATTGGGCTCTTGTCAGCTGCATTAAAAACTGAATTCTCGCTACTAAACAACAATGTATAGGTCCCGTTCTCAAAAACCACCTTCACCACAGGAGGATCACTTGAAAGAATTTCAAATTAATCTTGACTAAACACTAGCTAGGCCCATAATTATACATATCCCACCTCAGCAATGTTATCTTCTCTTAAAATAGCGGCAATAGGGGCCTGAGATTTGCTATTCATCACAGGGCCCTTAATTATATTAGTCTAACATAACCTAGCATTTGGGAATTGCAAGAATTTTCAAGTTTACCCCATAATTAGGCAAACTATCACTTTCAAAAAAATGTACTTTTAAGTTCTATAAGTAACTCCTTTTTTCTATACCATTGATCACTCAATGAAAATCTGAAGCTGCATCATCATTTGCACCATGAAGGTATACATGTACTTCCAAACCATCCCTCCGATTTCATTCAGCTATATTCAGCTATATACATAAATCCATACATACATACATATATATATATATTTATATATATTCATCCAAATTTCCACTAAGCTTAGTCCCTATGCAATATATTAATTGATCACCTTCTTTGTTCAACCACAATGCAGAAAACAGTTTTGCGCGTCAGCTTGAACTGGCAGAAGTGCAAAGTTGCTGTACTAAAAGCTGTTGCCAAACTTGAAGGTAACTTCTTCTTCTTCTGCCCCCAGGGGTTTGGTGGTGGTGGTAAGGTAAGGGGCTGGGTTCTAATATATCTCGGTTTCGAACCCCAACACTCCATTATGACTCCTGATTTAACGGTGTTGTCGTTGTGGGGCCGATTACAACACCCACGGTTTGTAGCTTGAGGTGGGTCCAAAGAGCCCTGCCCAATGGAGCTCCAAGTTCCAAAAAAAAAACTTTTTTTTTTTTCCGAAAAGTTCAAGAAAACGCACACACCCCCTCACAATATATATTGTCCCCAATGGGTGTTAGGAATATATATACGTATGTTTATAACGATATTGTTTTTTTAATTTGGAAAAAAAACAGGAATAAATGCAGTAGGTGAGGATGGTGAGAAGTGGACATTGACAGTGGTTGGAGATGTTGATCCAGTGAAGTTGGTTAAACAAATAAGGAAGAAAACAGGAAAGGCAGTGGAGGTGATGAGTGTTGGACCCCCAAAGCCCAAGTCACCAAAGCCTTATGATGATATGAAACCCCTTCCTAGGTGTTGCAAAGAGTGCCAGCTTGTGGTTGTCACCTACTTACCCTATGAGGGTGGATTCTGCTCTATTCTTTGAGACAGATTCCAACCCTCCTTGTATATTTTGTAATTTTACTTTTGAATATGTGTGTGTGTGTATATATATATATATATATATATATATATATATATTTACTTTAATATGTAAAAAAATTGTCTTGTTTCATCCAAGAAGAATTTTAATTAAAAATGAGTTAAGTACAAAAAAAAATCCTACGGTGTATTATATACCAAATGTGCAAAAATCCTCCTGTTAAAAAACCACCCTACATTTTTCAAATAGAGCAAATAAAGACATTTTCTCAATTTGAAAGCTGAAATACCTAAAATGCTCTAAAAAAACATATGTGCCCAAATTTGATTAAAGATATTTTGGAATTTTTATTAAAAAATTAGTCAAATTTGACTAGGACCAAGGGACAACATATTTATTATATATCAAATTTCAAATTATAAAAATTTATATGCACGTACTAAATAGCAATTTGTTAGTGGAATATTACGGGTTGGATGAACTTCAACAAATTGCAAACTGTAAGTAGACTTTGTTTTGATGCAATTTACAAAGGTGAAGAATGAGTTCCCTGCAGCCTTGTAAAATGTGTAAAATACCTGCAGCTGGTTTTAGTTAGATTTTAGGGCGGAGAATAGAGAGTCGTTAATTAAATGGTGGCATCATATACAGGAAGTGTTTATCTGTAGGTCTAAGCTCAACTCCACTTAACAAATCATTTTTCCAAATTCCAACTTCATGGATACATTTGTCTAAGCCTTCCTCAAACTACATGTTGAATATATTCATCTATTACGCACTATGTTAGAGTCGCTTAGAAAAAATGAGAATCTGTTTTTTGACACTTATTTTTCTAAGTGTTTATTATTTTGATATTATTTCTACAACTTAAATTATTTCGATTCAATAAGTTATTATTGCTTGTCAAATTGTGTTAACACAAGTGATGGATAATTTCATTTTGAAGATTGAACATAAAAATACATGCTAAAACTCATAAAGAAACCCAGACAAAACTTTGTAGAAAAATTCTTGAGATTAATGTCGAGGACAGCAATTCAACATGGTCAAATCTAATTAAAGAACAAAAAGGACAAAAGTTTGACTAAAAAGAGTTATTCCATCCTCAAATCTTATGAGCATATTTGGCATATTTTGTGATTTATAGGAGTACTATAATTGACAATGAGTTTTTGGTGCAATTCTAATTATCTGTGTAAAACGTTGATAGAGATTTTTTTTTTTTTTGGTCTTCATTTTGTGTAGGATCGTAGGCCCTGTTTGGGGGAGCTTCCAAATTTTAAAATTCCTTCCTTTGAATCGGTTTTGGAGAATGCATTTTGATGAAAGGAATTTAAAACAAAAAAATTGTTTGGTAGATGAATTTTTTGAAGTTCTTTTAATTATCCACATAATTTAACTTTGACAATTATACCCTTAATAATTCATGAATAATAGCATAGAGTTGACTTGATAAGTCCAAATAGGGGAAGGAAAAATAAATAAAAAATTAAAGTGATGGAATGAAATTACCTATGATGCATCAATGATTAATTGACACAATGATGATCAAGGTATACAAATTTACTCGATCTACATTATAGAAGTTTTTTTTTTTTTTTTTTTTTTTTTTCCTTAATAAAAGCGGAAAGAGATGGAAAGAAAAATAAAATGAAAGAGAGAGATGGCAACAAAAATATCATATTTTTGTTCTTATTTATAGCTATAAATTACTTTAAAAGTGGACCGGTAGCCTTTAAAAAAAAAAAAAAAAAATTATATATACATATATATATATATATTGTGTGTGTATATATATAGTGAGAAAGAAAAGTTATTTAGAATTCTACATAAGTTTAAATTTTATATGAAAGTTCTTTAATCCTAGAACTCTTTAGGCTTTAAAGTTAAATGGGAGTCTATAGTAATTTTTCCTGCACTCCTCGATGTCATTATTTTTCCTTTGTTGAATAGTTTTTCAAAAATATTTTTTTTAGTAAAGATTTGTGAAATTTTGCTCAGCATTTTAAAATTTATTTTTGGGTAAAGAAGGAATGAAAAGATGATACAGAAAGAGAAAGATTTGCAATGGAATTCAGAAATAGAAATAAAAATAGGTTAAATAATGGACAATATAAGAATTTTATATTTATTATTTAAAAAAAAGTGTGTAACTTACAGGAAGTCGATTACGAAGTATGATTTATTGGCTTTGTTCAATTTGGTTTCTAAACTACTCAGAGTTTTTAAAAGTTCATTTTAAAAGTTTTTACCAAACACTTTTGTTATTGGCAAAAGACTTTCTGAACTTAGAATCCCTCCCAAACAGACCCATAATATATTTGAAAACTTCAGCTTTTAATATATTTAAAATACAGTATATTACTGTGTATTGGGATAATGATTCTCAGAAACCCTAGATCTCCAATTTACATCAGACAAAGCTAGTTTGGAGTTTCTCCCATAATTTAAATTAATTTGAAATTTCCAGAAAATGACAACGAATTAATCTTGACCGTCATTTAAGAATATCCATCCGATCTCTCGTGACCTTGAATCAGAGTTATCAGACAGTACAAGATAGGTAGACCATGTACGTAGGGCCCACACCGGAAACGCTCCCGAATTCGAAAAACAAGTGAAAGCGCGAAAGCTGAAGACTCATTAAAATACTCCACAAATTAGAGTACTTATTAAAAACCAAACATCGAGGGAGACGATCTTCTCTCTCCTCACTCTCTCTCTCTCTCTAAAAAGAAACTCCAATCTGCTCTTTTACGGGTAAGATTTTCTTGATCTTCGCCTGAACTTTTTTCTGTACTGAGATTCGTTCCCTTTAATATTTATTAGTAGTATTCCTTTTCTCGTTGAATATATATATATGTGTGTGTGTGTGTGTGTGTGTGATTTAATTTCACCTTTGTTTTCCGTTGATTTCGAAGTAAAATATAATGTATAAGCATTTTGAAATTTATGGTACTGATAATTTTAATCTAGTTTTTCTTCAAATCTCCTCCATTTTGTCCTGAAACTTCGCGTCATTGTTTTTGTATTTCACTTCATCCAAGATTTCATTTTCAGCACCGTCTTTAGGGTTTCCATCTGAGTTCTTAAAGACGATGTCAACGCATTTGGTATGATGAATCTTGGCTCAGTGTAAGGCAGTAACCGTTTGAATCTGTTATTTTTAATTCAATTTTCCTTTACTCCGTTTGGTTGTCGAGAAAACGGGTGAAGGCAATGAACAATAAGAGCAGGTTGAATGTATGTTTAAGCTTCAATGTTGTTGTTTTTGTTTTTTCCTGGTGATTAGCTTCAATAACGTTGTTGTAATTGTTATCAGTATTCTGTTACTATATTTTCTGAGCATCCAAACAGAGCATTTGTGTCATTTTGTTATCTGAATGTTAAAATATGTCACTACATTTTCGTAATTACTATTGTTTATACATTGTAGCTTCAAGGTATATCCTTGTATTCAAATCATATCATAATGCTTTTTATTACTGCTCTTCCGTTTTGATGGCCTTTGTTTGGTTGCTTAGAAAATCACTGAAAGAGAGAGAATAAAGTTGTGACTGCAGTGTTCTATGGCATTTTCCTTTTCGAATAAAAAATACATAGTAATGACCACTTTAAAGGCCTCGTTTTATTAGTTGTATTAGCCTCAGTCAAGTGGTGTAATTTTTTTCTTTTCTTTTCTTAAATTGATACTTTATTGATTACCTACAGTCTAAGGTAATATTTTTTAGCAACCAAATGGGAAGCATCAAATCTATTTAAGAATTTTGATTCTTAGGCATACTTTTTCATGTATGAGTCAGTAGGCTCTGATGAACCTGACTTCAGTGATTTTGACAGTGTAGGATTTTAATTCGGAGCAAATTTTGGCAATGTCATCCATTTCAGTTGCGGTTTTGAACATCCAGCATCCTTTAACCTTCAAACAATCCAATACATGGTCAATATGTTGAGGTTTAAAGGGCTCAAGCTTTGTATAATCAGTGTCAAAACCATGGATGGAAGTTTGGAAGTTAAAGGGTGAGATTATGTCGAATTGAGGGTTAGTATACTGGTGTGCAGGATGAAGTCACACACACATTCAAAAGTGAAAGGAACCACTAGGGTTAACAATCAGCAGGTGATTTTTGAGCTTAAGCACCGAGTGGTTCTTGCATTAAACAAGCTTGCTGATAGGGATACTTACCAGATTGGGGTTGAGGAGCTTGAAAAAACCATTGAATGTCTAACTCCAGATGGGGTGGCTCCATTTCTGTCTTGCATTTTAGATACTGATTCAGAGCAGAAGAGTGCAGTTCGTAAGGAATGTATCAGACTGATGGGTACACTAGCTACTTTGCATGAAGGCAGTATTGGCCAATATCTTGGGAAAATGGTAGCCAGCATTGTTAAACGGCTTAAGGATCCTGATTCTGTCGTGAGGGATGCATGTGTGGAAACAATCGGTGTTTTGGCTTCTAAGTTGAGCAATAGTGAGGGTGAATGTGAAGGAGCTTTTGTTTCATTGGTGAAGCCTCTTTTTGAAGCCTTGGGTGAACAAAACAGGCAGGTGCAGTCTGGTTCAGCATTGTGTTTAGCCCGGGTCATTGATAATACCAATGATCCTCCGGTGTCCATCTTGCAGCGGATGTTGACTAGAACTGTTAAGTTGCTTAAGAATCCACACTTCATGGCAAAGCCAGCAGTCATTGAATTGAATAGAAGTATTATTCAGGTCAGTTTTTCAGTGATACAGTTGAGTGATACTGTTGACTTTCACATATTTTCCCAAATTTTCTGTTTTGCTTACTTTCTCACAGAGCATTCTGTTTAAGTAAGCTCAGTTTGTGTAATTAAGTGAAACAAAAAGGAGAAATAAATTCTATACTTGCTTGTCGATTGCTAGAGCCAGTAATTAAGTTTAAAAAACGATTATATGGTAGTAAGTTGTAATTTTCTTGCTTGCTGAAATAAATGTGTGCGCACAACAGCTTGGAAATGGAAAGAAAGGTCACGGGAGGGGTTTTAAATATTGAATCATTCCTGTTGAGTTACAATAATAGCATTTCAATACAACATCTAGTTTCACATACTTTTCGACAATACAAAGTATTCTCTCCTGTTTGATGTAGGTGGTACAACTTTAATTTCTTTTTAATTGTCTCAGGCAGGGGGTGCCCCAACACAAAGTGCTTTAAATAGTGCAATGAGTAGCATTCAAGAAGCTCTCAAGAACAGTGACTGGACAACACGCAAAGCTGCTTCTGCATCACTAGGAGAAATTGCTTTGAGAGGCGGATCCTTCTTTGGGTCTTTCAAGAATTCATGCATTCATTCCCTTGAATCATGTCGTTTCGACAAGGTCAGTGTTAATACTATCTGTAATCAACATCTGGAGAAGTTCCCTTTCTTGCAAATGCTTAAGTTGGATCCATTAGATGCTTCTTGTACTTTTATATAGGTGAAACCAGTTAGAGACACAGTACTGCAGGCCTTGCATCTCTGGAAAAGTCTTCCAGGGCCTGATACGCGTGAACCTTCAGAAGCTGGATCTTCAATTAAAGGTTTGGTGGCATGTCTTATAGAAGTTAATCCTTAGATTTGCTGTTCGAATCTACATATTTTATCTTCTTTAATATTCAATTAATTTGATATGCATAAATACTGTAGTTACTTTTGACAATATTCTTGCATCCTTAAAACATTTGACGTGGCTCTTATTTGTTTTTAGACTGATTTGTACTATTGTATTGCTTGTAAACAACCAAAAATCTAAAATATATTTACTGAATTCTGGACATTCTGGGATGTATATTAAGCAGTATGTAGACTATAGGCAGCTGTTATAATTAATCAGAGCAAATCAAGTTGAATACAATTGTAAGGAACCTGAGTTAGTGTAATGTAAGGTAGTGATACTATATTTACTCCAAGATTGATGATATGGAAGTAATCAGCTGAGGCAAATGTACTACATCATGCCCTTATTCTTATGTTAGAACCATCCCTACTAACTGCTGTATATTAGCCATGGTGTGCATTGAGTTGGAGGGTAATTAGAACTAATTGCAAGGAACAACTATTTAGGGCAGTTAGGAATCTCTAGTCTTTTAACTTTCTGGGAGGATTAGTGGAATCAATTGCGAAGCTTCATTTTATGTTAGCTTAGATATTATTTTGTAGTAGGATTTTAGCTTAACGTATTTGATGAACAATGTTAGTGGTTCGCTAGTTATTTGTTGTATTATGTGGCTAAATCTATAGAATTGTCTTTTGCCTTTTCCATACTTTTCAAAGTCTTGCTTAAAAATTTGGTAATATATAGCTCTCTGTTTATGATGGTATGTTACATAATCATATACTTCCTGCAGAAAATTCTTGTAAGGGTGACTATGGTTCTATTTCGTGTGCTGCTGAGTCCAGATGGAAGGATGTCCCCCTTACAAAAGTTGGTACTGGTTCAATTAAGAAAAGGGTTCCTCTCTCTGTCAGAAAAGCATGCCAAAATTATGCTGAAAATCCTCAGCGTTCAGAAGCAAGTGATTGGCCGATAGAAATTGCAGTTCCAAAAACCCATTGTGTTTCTATAGCGGATGTCCACAATGAAGAATCTGAAGGTAGTTCTGTCACTAAAACATTTGAAAGAATGAGTGCTGTTATCACAAGCCCTCAAGATGTTGATTATGAATATGTGCCAATGGATGATAGACAGGAATGTTCTTCTGTGACTAATCTTGTTGCTGATAACTTTGAAACCAAGTTTGTGACAGTTTCTCATGACTGTCTTGAGGAGGATGGTAAGGTCAAGCCAATGGGAATAAATCAGCAGTTTGCAGCTGAAGAAATTAGCAGTGAAGAACATATATATTCCGCAAACTTCCGGGATCGTAGAAGTCTTGATTCCACGGTTACAGAATCGAGTTCCCAAACCATGCGCGGTTGTTGTTTGCGAACAGCAAATGAAATGGTTTCCGTTCGAAAGCAACTTTTGGAGATTGAAAACAAACAGTCGAACTTAATGGATTTGTTAAAGGTAATTGCTTTTGTTTAGTGGGTATTTTATAGGTTCATGGCTTGATCATTGAGCAAGAAATTCACTTGAAACCACATGCCTACAATTATGCACTCTAAACTTTTAGCTGCGTTTCTATACATAAAACATTTGAGTTTTTAAAGTGTAACCTATTTCCAGTATCAGCATTAGGATTAAATTAGACCAATACAATTGGCATCCAGTTTTGAGAAGCACACGGAAAGTCACTCACCCATGCACACACCATGTTTTGTTGGCAGCAAAAAACTCAAGACGTAAAAAATTCGGCATGCCAGTTAATTTGGAGAAAAGAAATATTAAATGTTTGCATTCCTGTGAATTGATTTGATATTTTTTGGCATAGTTATTTTAGCAATAGGCATTAACTCCATTCCTTCCAAATAATCAGTGTATATGCTAACCTGCATCTCGTTACATAGTATTCTTGTTTTGGGACTTCTGTTGTTTTAAAGTTAAATATATTTTCTTCTTTTCCCTCATATGGGTGCTGAAGTTGATGTTTTATTCTTTTTTCTTTTCAAGCATTCTTATAGTCTAATGACCTTCATTATCTCTCTTTTTCCCATTACTTATTCAGGTTTTTACAACCAGCACAATGGATAGTTTGTCCATGATACAATCACAAGTGTCATGTCTAGAACATGTAGTGGATAGAATTGCTCAGGACCTTGTTCATGGAGGGAGGTATTCTGACCAAGCTACTTCCAAACTTTCGAAGAAGAGCTCAAGTATTGCTTCTCCTAGACTCTCTACATGCACTCCACGTCCATCTATAGATATACGTAATAGACAGCCTTCATTATTAATGAAAAATCCCGAGGTTTGGGAGGAAAAAGCCTTTTCTAGTAGCAGATCAAGCAATTCTGCTAGACAAGGAATGGAGACGTGGACAGATCACAGGGTAAAATTAAATAGAAATCCTGTAAGGAAGGGCAGTCAAATAAGTTCTGGACATAAAATCAATGTTGGTCAAACAAGAAAGAATGATGCTATCTTTGCTCCCATTTCTACTACTGATACCAGACAAAATAGTCCAGAAATCAGTAATAACCCGTGGGAATTTGTGAAAGGTTATCTATTGGAAGGGGACATCGACTCCGCATATGTGGAAGCTCTATGTTCCGCTGAAGAACTTGTTCTTATTGAACTTCTTGATAGAACCGGTCCTGTCCTGGAAAGTTTATCACACAAGACTGCCACCGATGTTCTAAGCACTTTGGTGTCGTACCTCCTAGAACAAAGATTTATAGATTCCATAATCCCTTGGTTGCAGCAGGCAAGTTTATTTTCTTTCAATTGCTCTTACAACTGGTTAAGTTTATTGTCATTATTTTTGTATGTCTTAGCTTCTCTTTCATCCAATATATGAAGTGCTGCTGGATAAGAGTAGTTTCTATGTTCTCTCATCTCTGAGATATGTAGTGGATTCAAGCATTGCTTGGAGTCAGTTGGCATGTTCTAATTACAGAAGAAATTGCCCTGGCAACAGTTGAAATGTGCTTGGGCACCTAGGCAATTGTACACTGTTGTGGGATTGGTTGTCTTAGCATCATTACCAAGTCACTTTTATAGTTGGAACATACACCTCGTCTAGGGTCCAACTGAGCAGTTATGATGAGTTTTCAACATGTACACTGCAAATGACTTAATAAAATGATGTATAGCAGAAAGTAGTCAAAGTACTTTGGAAATGCACAACAGAGGAGATGATTATAGAAAGGAAACTAATAAGTTTTCCATCCAAAATCTCTCTCTACACATTTGATGGTATTTACACATGGGTAAACACCTTTGAGTCTGTGGCGATTTTATAGTTTTTAGAGTAATTTGTCTTCACTGGATTATTGTAATACAAATAATGGATGATGAACAATGTTGATTTATATACCAATATACTATTTCATGTGTGATTTTAGCTCGCTCTGTCTCTTTCTTCCCACAACCAAAAAAAGCACATACAAGTACACACAAAAGACAGTCATCTTCTCGTCTTGCTTTTCTTGTTTAGAGAACTTTTATGCTGTGTAACTTAACATTTTACTTGAAGTTTTTCAGTTAATAAACTGCTAGGGTCTATGCAGACACTCATAATTTACTTGCAAGGTTTTCATTTAATAAACTGGTAGGTTTCCATGAACCCCCCAAACTCTCTCCCTCTCACTCACACACACACACACACACTACTCTCCTTATGCACAATAAATATGTTTTTATTTGAAAGATGTGTTTTTAAATCCCAAGAAAAGTGAATTGCTTATATATTGTGTTTCAGATATAACTTTGTCCCATTATGATAGCTCCCATTTCTGTAATTGGCCTCATTTTTTGTCTTTTGAACAAATGATAGAAATGGTTTTACATTATTGCCCCACTTCTGATGACGGTTATTTTACCTTTAATACATTAATAGAGTACAGAGTGTTGTATGTGACGAGAAAGTATTCAATACACTGGGTATACCGAGAATATGTAGGCAACCTTTCTTTCTCGCCCTTCTTCCAACTTTTTTCAGATAAGGGGCTAATATAGATGTTCTTTCTTAGTACATTGCCTTTCATTACCAACCTGTTGTCTTAGAGCTCGAAGTTACCTGATGTTCGCTACTAGTATCAAATAAAAGCGGGAGGAGAGATGTTAGCCTTTCTCTATTAGTAAGCACTCCCCTAGTTTTGACCTAATGAGCTTTGTTTCCTTAGCCCAGTCAATGTTGAATTGCTATTTTCTATTATCAAGGGAAATGGAGAATTTTCATTGGTCAGGACTACATAGTAGGTACCCTTGGGGTATTGATAATTTTTCTGTATGTGACATATACATTGTGTCAACTTATTAGATGTGCACCACCACAAGTGCCTGGCTGTTTTCACAACTTTGCCACACAGAATGATAGATAGGAAGAATGATAAATTGACTTTTGTAATCAGTTAATTGCAGAATTTGTTGTTTGGGAAATATATATATATATATAGATCTTTCTTCCTGAAAATTGGACCACTGAAGTTGATTTACAGAATTTGGTCCAAACAGGGAGGCATTTTCAAGAGTAGGAAGTAATGATGGTCTTTTGGATCAGTGTTTACTACGTCCTCTCATGATCCCAACAATCAAGATGAACCTGTTTTTTAGGATCATGACCATACTTTTAGTTTTAGATAGTTTTTTTGAATATTAGTGGATTTTTTAAAATATTTGATTTTTTTAATTCTTCCAAATTTGAGTTAGATAGCAAGACTTGTTGACATTTCCTTTCGTTACTGCATAAATAAATGGAACAATGGTTTACAGCAGAAGTATCAAGATTTAATATTATCCTTATTTTAGGTGGTGGACCTGAGTTCTATCCATGGACCAAATTATGTTGTTCTTTCTGCAAAAGCAAGGAGAGAATTTCTATCTGCAATTCAGAAATCTGCCAACATGGAGTTTCCCAACCTAGCAGAGAGAAGATCTGTCATGCAGCTAACAATGAAATTGCACCAGATATGGGGTGAGGCAACTTGTACACATTTAAATTCTTTTAATTCACATGTTGCATTAACCAATGTTTAACTTCAGTTTTATCTCTAATTTAATTCCTGGATAGATATGAAAAGAACTATTGAATGAGAAATTTAAAATGTCTCGGAATTGAATGAGAAGGTTCATATATTGAAGTCATAAATCTTTAGATAATTAAGACAGCCAGTTTGGGTAAATAATGTCAAGAATTAGGCCTGTATTTTGTCTACATCCCATTAATTGGGACTGCACTAGGTAACCTTTTATAAATCCTTGCATGAACCACATTCTTGAAGCCCCTGTTAAAGTTGTTGAATTTCTTTTAAGTTTTGGGAATCATAGCTGAAAAGAGAGATTGCAGTTCTTTTATAACAAATAGTTATTATGTATCGGGAAAATGAAAATTTTATTTTCTTATGGCCCACATTTTTTTCTCAAGGAATTTAAACCTTGTTTGGTAAGCAAAATGTTTCTTGCATTTGTAGTTTTTAGCATGGAATTGTAAAGTATTGAATATGTTTTAAGAGTCACAATAACTTTTTCTGATTTGGTGTTGATAGCTCAAAAGATAGAACACACATGAAAAAGGCCAGTTAACAGGATACCAATACTTTTACTTCCTAAATGTGTGGAAGGCTGTCTTTGATCAGTCCTGAGATAAACTACACCGGAAAAGGGAGTTCCAAAAACATAACCATTGCCTTCTAGGTTATAGATCGGGTATTTGGCATGAACTATCAAGAGTTCAAGATACAATGGTATATACATACTGATACCAAAGTATGTCTCTGGTCTTTCCTTCCCATAGCTGTTGGACATAGTAGTGGGTAAATGATCCTTATTTCGCTTGACCAGATTTAGCACACTTACAATTCTATTAGAGTTGCAAAGAACAAAAAATCCTTTATTTTGCTGGGCTATTCTTGAATTCTTTCCTTTATTGTTATGTCGAGTGATTGACCAAACTTGAATACTAAATCGGTAGCTATTGGTCCTTCAATCCCATACTTAGAGCTAGTGATTAAATTTCTGGAGTATTACTGACTAAATGTTGTCTTCTCTATGTAGGAAAATGCTCCTGAGAAAAAGCTATAATCAGTGTGCCTGAGGATTTGCTGATGTGAAGGAGAGAACTTCTGTACCATTCTTGAATTCCAACCTCTATATATGGAGACGATGAAAAGTGTGTTTGAAATGAAAAATCGAATCTTTTAAATGACTAATTATGCGACACTGGTTCCTCTCATCTCTATGTTCCAAGGAGAAGGTTTGGTTTGTCAACTGTGTAGTTTTCAATGTTTGCTACTTTGCTCCCTATGCTGTTATTTATAATGCCAATGAACGTGAATATATAGGAACGTGAAAATATAGGACCTTGGGTAGATCATTATAAGTGCCCTATTTCCATCTTAGGCACAACTTCGAAATAAAAGATTAGGGGCTCAATATAAGTTGTCATTTTAGATAAATAATTAGAAAGGTATTAACTACAAAGCTTGAATGATGTTATGCTCCATTTGATTTGTTACTCAGAAGAAGAAAAGAGGAAAGTAAGAAGAGAAGTTGTTACTCAGAAGAAGAAAAGAGGAAAGTAAGAAGAGAAAAGGAAAGAGGATGAGAGGAGTGTTCCTTTTCTCTTCTCTTCTTACTTGATTTCAGTATATGTATTTGGTATACATGAGCAAAAAACAAACTTGATTTTAGTATTTGTATTTGATATACATGAGCAAAACCAACACTATAGATTATGGAGTAGTGATATAGAGTTCGAAAGTTGGATATATCCAATTGCGTCACACATAAATATCGTCTAATATGTTGAGAGTCGGAATAATTATTATTTTCCAATCTCAATTAACAATTGCATCTCTGGTTAATTAATTGCATCTCTAAGGTTGTCAAGTTGGTTTCTTGGGAAAATATTGGAGAGAGGAGAGAGAGATTGGGAGATGAGAGCTTGGAATCTCTGAGCGGGTTTGAGAGAAATGACATTGTCTCCTGGCTTTTTTTTCCCCTCTATCGCTTGCCTTTTCATTTGCTTTATTTTCTGAAATAAATTGAACATATGTAGGGCATTTGTTTTAATGTTATGAAATGTCTAATAAAAGTTCTTTGAAAAACAGGTTATAACTTAATAGTACTTTTTCGTCTTTTAAACTAGAAGGCCAAGAATTCAAATCTCTCAGTGTTAAATATATTTCTTTGATTTACAAAAAAAAAAATAAAAAACGATGTTTATTTATTGCAATAAAATTGTGGGTAAAAGAACCCTTACCATCAAAATCTCTCAATGCCCATACCTGTAGGAATATTTTCTATTATTGTGACCTTGACCCGATCATGATTATGATCATTCTTATGTAAAAAGAAAGAATGACTCGAAAGGAAAAGACAAATGCATATATGAAAATGAAATGCCAACTAAATTCATATCGCGTTTGGTAGAATAAAATTCACACCCTATGATCGAAATTGAAGACCATATTAATTAAAATAAATAATACAAAGTGAGGATAACATCGGATGGGTATGATAAAACTCTTAAACATCCTCTGGAGTCTAGTATACTTTCGTACCTATATCTTGTCCACTTGATTCGCCGATTTTTTTAGTGCTTCAGCTAATCATCATAAAACACATTCATTCTCCAAATAATATAATCTGCCAAGGAATTGAGTTCCATGGGTACAAATTCTATATCAACTAATCGTTGCTAGATATGATTGAACAAATGTTTCAAACTTAAAAAGAAAACTAACATTATACCAAATGTATTCTGCGTATGATTCAACCACATGTGCTCCATCTATCAAATTTGTATTTTTGACCTATTTTAATTTCAGTATCTCTAACTTTTTTACTAATGTTGACACCCATTTTGGCATTTGGGTTGTAGACCCATTTTGATTCATGGGCCATAGAGGATATTTGGTCTATGGATTTATGATTGGGCTGAAGATGTTTTGGAGGCAAGGACGTAGATTGTGAGAAGACATTGGGCTGAAGGATGCAGTAAGGAATTCGGGCTTGGAGGCATGGATTAAGCATTGGACTTGGGCTGCAGATGGGATAGCATTGGTGTAGTGGCGTGGCAGATTCTACACAAGGACATTACTAATCAGGTTGAATATTTTTTTGAACTTCTTGAGGAATGAGATTTATGTGATTTTTTGAGTTAGTGTTTATCTAGGATTAGTTATTTTTAAAGTGGTAGTTAGTAAGGCTATCTGTAGGATTTGTTTAGTTTGAATGATATAGAGTTTTATTGTAATTAGAATACTTCTTTATTTCAGTCTCGTTCTATTTCTCTCCTTCTCTATTTCAGTCTCATTCTATTTCTCTCCCTATATCTCTTTCTCCCTATCTCTTCTCTCTATCATTTTTCTATATCTATTTCTTCCCCTTTTTATTCTCTTGATACATTACTATATATTATTCACTGATAAAGTCCTTTTAACTAAGGCATTATTGAACTCAAAAGAGGAATTTTTATTGTTCCCTTTTTCCTCGCATCGTCTGAAAGTCAACTTGCTCAAAGGGACTAAAGTTGACAATTTACACTTGAGATGGTTCTAGCACGCCCACACTACATCAATTTGAGATCGGTTCTAGCCAGCCGATTTTAGCGTTAACATTTTTGGCATGCCCGATGGGACCCATCAGGTGAGTAATTATAGTAAATATGCCTCCAAAGCTAAGAAATTCGAAAGGCGTGACTATAGGTGACAATATTGGTGAAGAAAACCAACAACTCGGCGTTGGTGATGATGCCGACTCATCTATTCCATCCAATCTTCCTTTGGGTCGGGTACTAAAATCGATTGTGCAAAAAATTGATACCCAGCAAGCACAGATCAGTGAAGTAAGGTCTCAGGTGGGGGAATCAAATCAAAATTTGGTTTCTCAGATACATGAGATGAGGTCAATGACTGGGGAATTAAATCAGATGATGTACGCTCAAATGGAGAAGATGAATCAAAGGCTTGAAACCAGTATATCGGCTAATCAAAATCGACATAATCAAGCCGAAGCATCTTATATTAATAAGTCCATATTTCAGCGTATGACGGCACCATTGATACATATTTCCCAAGGGCCTCAAACAAGCACCGTACCGCCAAGTGCAGTACTTGGTATTAATTTCGGCAATGTGCCGAATCATACACTCGGCATGCCAATGGGGAATCCACCAATCTTATCAGATCCACCAGCAGTGAATACTGTGCCGATGTACCGACCACTAATGAATGGTCAGCATTATCAGAATGTGCAGCGTCCACATATGCAGCCAATTCCACCAGCGAGAGATCAGCAAGAAGTAGTAGGCAACCTAAACCAAGGTAGGGCTAATCCATTGATATCTCCAGCGACTGCTGGGGGGGCAAGTAAATGCCAATCATCAAAGGGAGTGGGTTAATCCATTCATTCCGCGGTACTCAAATGATCCTCCAGGAAGAAATGCAGGGATTGATAGGGCTCAGATTTTGGCTTTAATACAGGCCAAAGTAGCACAAGGTCGCAGACGTGCTCGGCCAGTATGTAGAAAGCCCTATCCTGATCATGTCGATGCTCATGAGTTGTCTAGAAATTATCGGTATCCCGATTTTTCTATGTATAGTGGCGAAGAGAATTTCTCTGCGGTGCAGCATATTGCAAGGTTCATCGCACAATGTGGAGAAGCAGGTCCTAGCCTTTGGTTAAGGATGAGGTTATTCTCCAGCTCTCTTGCCGGGGCGGCGTTTAAATGGTACAGTAACTTACCGGCCAATTCTATTCAGACTTAGGATGAGATAGAGGAGACGTTCCATACCCAATTCTACCGAACAGAGACAGAAGCTACGCTGGCAGACATATTTCGATTATCTCAGTTGCCGAGCGAATCGGTTGAGACTTTTGTTGCCAGGTTTAGAAAGGCTAAACTCAAATGCCGAGTAAGTTTGCCAGAACCAAAATACATCAAGTTAGCATTGAATGGTCTAGACATTGAACATCGCAAGAGGTTTGACGGGGTTGAGTTTCAAGATCTCTTCGACTTAGCAGACAGGGCTTCTCGGTATAAAAAAATACTAAAAGAAGAGAAAGTGAGGAAGAATTCTTCTAAGGGTACTTGGTATAAGAATCCTAATTATAAGGTATTCTCGGCAGAAGTTGGAGATGAATTAGAAGTTGATGTTGCAGAAGTCAATATCAAAAAGCCATACGTTTGTGAGGCGTTGGTTAAACCTAAACCGACCATGAGGGGCAATGCATCATCAACATCAACATCGGCAGCAAGGAAAGGTCCTGCCGATATCGGGAAAAGTTATTCTTTCGACTTGTCGAAAACAAATCAAATCTTTGATCACTTGATGGCCGATAAAATGATATCTTTTCCTAAAGGGCATAAGATTCCATCGGTAAGTGACTTGAAAGGAAAAGAGTATTGTAAGTATTATAACTCTTGGAACCATGCTACTAATGATTGTACTGTTCTACGAGGTGTATTGCAGAAAGCTATTGACGAAGGTACTTTAAAATTCCCGGAGAAAACTTCAGAGACCATGAAGGTGGATACTAATCCATTTCCTACAATCATATCTACAAATGTGATAAGCTTAGCCAAGCGAGAGAATCGGCAGAAGGCTGAAAAGATATCTGGTGAGTTCCTTTCATCAACTGCGATACCTGAAAAGATGGCAGAACTGCAGAAGCAATTAAGGGAGGCTTAATTAGCCTTGATTGACCATGACTGTTACCCAAATTGCAAAGGAAAGCAAAAACTAAAGGAAGATGTGCCAATGGAGGTTCAACCAAAGAAGAAAGGAATTCTTGAGAGGCTTATTTTCCCATTGAAGCCTGGGGAAGAGCCTCGGCAAGGTGGTCCTAGCAGCAGTCATTTGAAGGCGGGAAAGTAAACTCGGTAAGTTTATATATCTAGCCAATTTCATCCCCAAAATCGACACCCCAGTTTTAAGAGGCAGTCGTCGGTTCAGTCAGAAATTTGGGTACAGAAAGGAGCCGATTCATATAAAGTACGAACTGTGAAATCAAGGACAGACTCAACTAAAAATAGATGGACTCGAGTTAATCATCCGAAATTCCCTAAAGCTAAACAATATTAGAATGGGGGCCTAACTCGATCTCAGAAACGAAGGGAACAAAGGAGAAGGGCTGAGGAAAAAATGAAAGCTGAGGAAAGAAGCAAAGTAGTGTTAGCCGAGGAAATCGGCATTCCAGATAAAGATGAACCGGATGAGGAGCATCAGCCAACGTGGCCCAGACGCAACAATGAGTTCAAAATTCAGTTTGGTAGTTTCCCAGATGAGATATCATGTAACATGGCGTTTGTATTACCAGCAATGTTTCAGGCTCCATCGGCATCAAATGCAAATACTGAGAAGAATGAGAAAGAAACTCAGCCGATTCAGAATTTATCAA